CCACATGGTGTGGCAGACCTCTCCTGACCCGCCCGCTGCTCCCCTCAGCAGTGTACTTCATCGATCTGCCGGTTCTGCTCCCTTCTCTGTCTCTGGTGAATCCCCTCACCCTCCACATCTCTGGCCTGTACCCCAGTTCCATATGAATAAATAAATAAATCTTAAAAAAAAAAAGAAAAGAAAAGAAACAAGCTAAAAATGTCAGGCAGTTAGAAATGGGCCTGAAGTTGATGGTAGATGATAGATTACCAGGGCATCTGAAGGTGGGGGCCAGTCTTGTGGGCCTGTCTGTTACAGGGAAAAACTGCCACAGTTTTGGTGATCAGAGTGAAGAGTACTGTGTGAGCAGTAAAGGGGACTAAAAGGGGAAAATACTGGGAGGAACTATGTAGGGAGAGAAAAACCGGTTTTTCCTATTTACATGATTGAAATAATGTTTTGTTCTAAAACAGACCAAATGTGAATGAGATGGTGAGAAAGAATTGCTTTTTTGCCTCAGTAATAGATTTCCCCCTGAAAAATTGTGACAACCTCTTCCTGTTGCTTCTTGTTTCCTCTCTGAAACCAAAGGTCAGCACCTCGTCTCTGGGTACTTTTCCAAGTCGGGTGAAGATTGTAGAAGTTGGTCCCCGAGATGGGCTACAAAATGAAAAGGTAAAGATGGACATCAACCAAAAAGGGTCTTTTTGAGCTTGGGGATTTCCAAAAATGCATGGGGGGTGCAGCAGGATGGACAGTGCAGAGCAAGACCCCATCTCTGTCCAGCTCGGGGCTGGGCAGGAGGCCAGGTGGAAACTGCCACACAAGCTGTCTGAGATGATGGCACAGTGGTGCGTTCCCAGGTCCACTCACCGCCCAGTGGGGTGGAGGGGCCAATGAGGGCTGCAGAGGTGTGGGGTGCATGCATGTTGAAGCAGCAGTGGCACATTGGGGTTCAGCCAGAGGAGTCATGACGGCACGACAGCGGTCAGCCGCAGGGATGTCCCTTACCGCCCTTGGTAAGAACCGGAAGTTGGAGCAGTGCTGGCCAGTGGGGCTTTTCTGTAAAGCTGGAAATGTTCAGACTTGAGCTGCCACAATAGCCACTTGGCCCTTGTGGCTATTGAGCACTTGAAGGGAGGGTCCGAGCTTGCATTTTTATATAACTTTAAATGTAATTTTAACTAAATTACATGTAAACAATCACATAGAAGTAGTGTCTAACTTACTGGATTGGAAAGTCATTTAGCAGGGAGTTAACCATGAGCCCCAGAGAGGTTTTATGGTTTTTTGGTATGTTTTTCTGAAATAATTGTGTATTTGTTTTTCAACAAGAAGAGCTGCTGTTTTTTGTTTTTGTTTTTATTTTTGTTTTTAAGCGTGAGCTGCCCCTCCTTAATAAGAGTGTTTTGGGGAAGCAATGGGAGATAACTTGAGGGGGAGAGCAGTGTTTGAACAGAACTGGCAAGAAAAACCTAGAATTCTAGGACTTTTTACTTAATCCTGTAGGTACTAAGGGCACCACAGAGGGCTTTTGAACCAGAGAGTGAGACAGTGGAGACTGTTCATGTCTGTGTGGGATGAGCTGGTGGAATGAGACTTGCTATAATATACATGGATGACAGTGGGTTCGGAAATTGGAATCTGTTGAGCAAGTAAAAAGGATCCGAGAGGGAGAGAAGGAAGCGATAAGCTGAACATGTGAGGATGAGCTCCATATCAGCTGGGAGGAGGGACAAGGGTGGGTGCAATACTTGGGGGCCCACTCCTGCACTTTCGGCCATGGCACATTGCTCTCAACTTGTTTATGATGGGACCATAAGTGAATGAACCTTAGGAAGGAACCTGTATCGCAGACACATAGTGTTCCTGTGTAAATATTAACTCCTTTTCAGGGGAGAAACTTATTTCTACTGCAAAATTCTATCTAGAACTTGAAGACAAGCTAAGGATGACATGTGAATTCCTATTGGTGTTGAAAGTTGAGATAGCAGAGTGCTTGTGATAGCAAAAGCCTTGACCTAAGAGGCATTGCAGCCTGAGGCTGTTTCATTTCTTCTTTGCTGAGCTGGCTTTCTGGTGTTTCTCTGTTACAGACCGTCGTACCTACTCCAGTGAAAATCAGGCTGATAGACATGCTTTCTGAAGCAGGACTCCCCGTTATAGAAGCCACCAGCTTCGTGTCTCCCAAGTGGGTTCCTCAGGTGAGCCCCAGCTCTCAGTGAGAGATGTTTCTCAGATAAGAGGATGGACAGTTTGCCCTGAAGTAAGTAGAAGTCAGGAGTAGGTTTCTGGGTCTCTGGCCCTCTGAGAGGTCCCAGGTAACTCAGCCATATGGGGCAGCAAAAGAATACCATCTGGAAGACAGAAGGCTTGATTGTCCTTGGCTTTGCCCCTGGTTTGCCTGGTGACCTTGGTATATCCACCCCCTCTCCAGACTGGTGACCTCTCAGTCACTTCTAGTTCTTGCAATCTAGAAGCCCTAGGCTCATCCAGAGATGAGGTTTTTGCCTTTGAAAAAGAGAAAGACTGAGACCTTCTGCTTCCTGGAGACAGTCAAGTGGGAAGAAAGAACTTCACTGACTGGTGTTAGGTACTCAGAGTCCAGCCTGGTGCCAAGCCCTGAGCACCTTCTCAGTAAGTGGCTGGCTTAATGGTAGATTTATTACTGTTTATGTAAAGCTGTGCCAGCTTTCAAATACCACAAACACATTGTGATAATTGTGCCCCATTTGTCAAATATAACAAAAACATTGGGGAGACTTAACTGCACAAAAGGCCTCATTCACCAAGGGTTCTAAAGAATAGACTTTGTGATCAAAATGCCTTCTCCTGGGCCTAGGGTGGCCCAGGGGTTAAAGTCTCATCAATATCAAGTTATCCCCAGCCAGGGAGCTGATCCACGTGGCACAGAGACCTCTCCTGTCTTCGCTGCTCCCCTCAGCAGTGTGTTTCAGTAGATCCTCCTGTCCTGCTCCTCACTCTGTCTTTGTGAATCCTCTCACCCCTCATACCTCTGGCCTGCACTCTGGTTCTTGTATTCATGAATAAATAAAATAAATCTTTAAAAAAAAAAAAAGAAGTCTTCTGAGCTCCTTGCTTTCCCTTGGTGGTGACTTAGCAGTGTCTCCTTTGGCTCCCAGATGGCTGACCATGCTGAAGTCTTGAAGGGCATCCAGAAGTTTCCTGGCATCAGTTACCCAGTTCTGACCCCAAATTTGAAAGGCTTCCAGGCAGCGGTAAGAGACTTACTGACAGACCCTTGCAGTGGGCTTGATGGTGTTGGCCCCGTCCCAGGGTGTCCATCCCGCCAGCTGATCTCCAGTGGTGATGAGCACCTGCAGCCAAACCCGGGACCAGTCCTGCCATCCCGTTCCCAGTTCTGTGGCCTGGTTCACTTACTTAACCTCTCTGACCTTCAAGTCTGCCTACAAAATCAGACTAATTAATGGTGGCACCTAATGTCGGGACAATGTCAGAAGGTGGCATGCATGTAAGCAGCTTAGCAAGAGCTGGAATGTGAGTACTTAATAAATGTTCACTCTTGGTATTAGAGAGAAGTAATCAAGCTACCCACAGTAGAGCTGGTATCTGCCAACTTTGTTGCATTTTCAGCGGGACCGTCACAGGAGATGTTGAATGTGGACTGCGGCAGAAAGCTGCTTCTGAGAGCGGCTCCAAGGGTAGCGGCGTTGGAGGCGGTGTTGGTCCTCAGGAGGAAGACAAGGCTTTGTCCTTGCTGGTTGAGACATATTCAGTGTTATTTCCTAAGGCTGCCGTAACAAAATGCCAAAACTCAGTGACGTAAAGCAACAGAAACCTCTCCCGTGGCTCTGGAGGCTGTGATACGGAGTCAGGTGTCACAGGCTTGGTCCTCAGGAGCGCTTACGTGGAGACTCTGTCGCAGGTCACTCTCTGGACTGCCAGTGACAACAGTCATCCTTGGCCTTCCTTGACTTGTGGGTGCTTGACTTCCTCCAGTCTCTGTCCCCTCTTCCCTCAGCTTCCTGCTGGTCCTTGTCTTCCCACAGTGGCTGTCCTGCAAGCACACAGTCCCTTGGGGTCAGGGAAGACTCTGCTCCAGTCTGGCCGCAGCCTAACTGCGCATATCGGCAGTGACCTTCCTTCCAAGTGAGGTCATATTCTGGGGCAGGTCTCAAATTCACATGACATCTACGTGCCATAAAATTCACTGTGACATGAGAGTTTTGCTGCTCTGTGTTGGTGCTTCTTGCAGAAAAAACAATACTGAAAGCATGGGTCGGTTGGCAGGTTGCTGCTGGAGCCAAGGAAGTGACCATCTTTGGAGCTGCCTCTGAACTCTTCACCAAGAAGAACATCAACTGCTCCGTGGATGAGAGTTTGCAGCGGTTTGACGAAGTCCTGAAGGCAGCTCAGGCTGCGGGAATCCCTGTGCGGGGGTGAGTCTCCCCAACTTGACTTCCCTCAGTACCATTCTAGAAGGGGCCTAGACTCTGACACCCACAACCTTCCCCTACCACAGACTCCTTGTCCTGTGAGCACACACCCCAAGCTCACACCCAGCTCCCTCTACCCAAGTAAATGTGATAGGAATCCTAGCAAGTGCTCTTGAACCTAATTTTTGGTCCGTCCACGAGAACTCAAGTAGGACAGGATACTTAATGGGGTGGTGGAGCTTCACCTCCAGCTCCTCACACGTCTCTGAAGAATCGCCAAGCCTCCAGCCTTACAACCATGCCATGTTGTCTGTGGATTATCTCACTGAGCCTCACTGTCAGCCCACAGGGAGCGTGCTGTCCCCACTTAGAGACAGAGGTGAGGCTGGGAAGGATGAAGGGTCTCCCGTGAGACACACAGCTATTCAGTTGCAACCAGAATGTGCTTTCAGAGTGCACATCTGCACTGGTTAAACCTTTTAATGATGCCCAAGTCTAGACTTTTCAGCCTGGTTTACAGGCTGTGCAGCCTCATAGTCACTGCTCTCTGCTTCCTGTGTGGACCACATTCCGGCCAACTGGAACTTCCTCCCTTTGTCACATGACCACTCTCTCACCACCTTTGTACATGCTTTCCATAGTCTCTGAACTGAACTCTATTCCTCCAGCATCCTACTTGTCAGGACTAACTCCTTCTTCTTCATAGCCTCGCATGCCTGCCAGTTTCTCTGAGGCGCTGCCCCTGCACCTCTGCTGGAATTGCTGCCCCTAGTCTGGGCTCCATGGCCTCTGGACACTCTACCACAGGACTTGGCTGCTCCCTCTGTCCCCCCACCTCCCAACCTAAGACTGTCCCCTGAGGCCTGAGCCCACATCTCTCTCAGTCCCTGGTGTGCTCCCTTCTCTCAGCTCGGGGTCTGGCACACGGTAGGTGCTACTGGACCAGTGGAGGATGAATGGTGGGTGGGGAAATAGGTGCTCAGGAACATCAGCTGTGCTTATCAGCATCCAGCGCTGCTCTTTCCTCCTGTTCATCTTCTCTTTGCTCAGCAATGTTGGGAGAAACGGAAGAATTAAAATGGAAAAATACACTAAAATCTTTGACTCCAAATTATTTATCCAGCAAACACTTACTATGTCTCTTATTGTGCAGACAGGCTTGCTAAACCCTGTAAGATTTGAATGGCCCCTCATCTCCAGTGTACACCCCAGACCCAGACCCAGTGTAGCTCTCAAGACCTGAGATGGGCCTGTGTCCACCGCTCCCACCTCATGTTGTGGTTCTTTGCACTTTTCTCTGTGTGCCTCAGCTGCTCTCTTTGCTCTTCATCTCAGGGGCTCTTCCCTGGCCTTTCGAGCTGCCCAGAAGCTCTTCCTGCGCCCCTCCTCCTCTCAGCCTCAGTGTCTGGTCCTCAGAGGTCTTGCGGGCTTCCCTTCTGATGGCCACCTCTGTCACCAGAGATTCTCTCCCCCGCGCACTTGATTACCTTGTATTACTCCCTGTCTTGAAACAAGCTTCATGGGAGTCAGGACCTTATTGGTCCTGCACACTGCACAGCCCCAGTGCCTGGCCCCTAGTGGCAGCTCAGTACATCTGTGAATAGAGTGGATGAATCCTCTGGACCTCCCAGCGCGGCCCATCCCTTGGCCTTCAGGTCAGCCCAGCTCTTGTTTTTGCCTTTGTCTCCATCAGCCCTTGGTCCCTGCTGTGAGTACAACCCTAGCTACCCCGCTCACACTTCTCTTTACTTCTCCTACAGCTCAGTGTCTGCCCTAAGCGTGCGCTTTAGCTTCTCCCTTTGCCTGCCTCTCCTGAGACCCCTGTCATCCCTGCCGCGGCACTCAGGGCAGGAGCCCCACCTCCCCGCCGTGGCTCTCCATTGCCCCCTCCTGGCACCAAGTGGCACTACTTCTCAGGCCACATCATTGACTGATTTTCTCCTCGAGGCCCTTGGCCTCCCGCCCAGCTTCAGGTTTTGATTGCTGGGTAACCAGGATGTGTGGCATCCTGCTGGCCAAGGAGCTCAGGGACAATGACACCATTCCTCTCCTGTCTTCCCACAGGTACGTCTCCTGTGTGCTTGGATGCCCCTATGAAGGGAAGATCTCCCCGGCTAAAGTAGCTGAGGTGTGTGTTGGCGCAGGGGTTTTGTGAGGGTTGCCTTCCTTTTCTGCCCCTGAGTGCATATGTTTCTCTCGCCACCCTGTCCCGGGGGTGACTTCATTTGTCATGAAGTCCCTCTGTGAGCACAGCGCTGCACTTGCTCACCTCACAGAGCCTGTAACCCTCTGCCCCACCATTTTTCAGTCTGGCCAATGGCAGGTAGCATTGAGAGGGTCCTGAAGGGCCTTACCGTGGCTGGAGAGGATACAGTGCTCACGTGTTTAGTCCTCAAAACCACTCTGCAGATTTGGCAGCACTCTCTCATCATCGCTCCTTTTTACGGTTGAGGAAACTAAAAAACTAACTTGCCACACAGGATGCAGGTGGTGAGGCCAGGTCTGACCCCCCCCCATCCTGTTTACCGCCAAAACCTGCCACTCTTCCCGCACTGTGTAGCCTCCAAAATGGGAAATACCAATGGTGGCAACTGCTCATTTCAGGGCACTTGCTGCGCTCCAGGTCTCAGCTTCCCGTGCTTACCTGTCCTCACTGCAGACCTACCAAGGCTTGTTGTGGTTTCCAGAAGCAGAAATTGAAGTCCCTTGCCAAGCCCCCACAGCCACTAAGCAGCAGAACCAGGCTTGACTCCAGTGCTGTGTCCAAAACCTGCTCCTGCCACTGCCCCTCAGCCCCCACAACCTGGCTCCTTGCACCCCGCCTGCGCCCCAGCGGCCGGTGGAGGGCCCTCGCTGTGTCCTTAGCCAGCAGGCCACTGTTGAGTGTCATCTCAGACTGACCCACCACGTCCTGTCTCCAGCAGCACAGCGGAGGGCAGCCTCTCCTCAGGTGGGGTGTGTCCTACTCTGGCTTTGCAGTGACTGGGGGTTAGAAATGGGCTTCTGCACATGTAAATAGTATGCACCACTATGAAAAGCAGATGGCTAGCGCCTCAGACCTATGCTTGCGCAGTCTTCCAACTAAGGATAAAGCTGTATGAAAATAAGCCATTTTACTGATCCTAGAACCTGGGTCTCATATCATACATGAAGGTGGTAAGTGACCGACCGAAGTTAGGTACAGGGCTGAGAGGAACACGGGATGGAGCCCCAGCGCCCGGCAGAAACTCCCTTCTGAGTGAGTAAAAGGAGGACTGCAATTCCTGTGTGCAACTGCAGAGAGCCTGTGGGCCGAGAGGAATCCAGTGTGTCAGCCATGGAAGTGGCCCACATGGCCAAGGAGCCTGGGCAGCCTTGTGTCCTCCAAATGCCCTCTTGTTTCCCCAGGTCTCCAAGAAGATGTACTCAATGGGCTGCTATGAGATCTCTCTGGGGGACACCATCGGTGTGGGCACCCCTGGGATCATGAAAGACATGCTGTCTGCTGTCATGCAGGAGGTGCCCTTGACTGCCCTGGCTGTCCACTGCCATGACACCTATGGCCAGGCCCTGGCCAACACTTTGATGGCCCTGCAGGTAATGCATGTCCTGAGAGCAAGGCACCTGCCCCTTCTCCCTAAGGTGGTAGTTACTTTGTAGCACACATTCACTGGTACCTGGTCTGGCCATGGTGGACACAGACATTATTGGGCCTGGGCCACCTCTGTTAGGAGAGCCATTGAAGGAGTTTACGTGATAATCCTAACGCCTTATGACAAATGCCACAAAGAAAGGAAGCACAGAGCTGAGGAAGGCCCCATCCCAGTCAGAGGATTTGCCAGAAGAGGCCTGAGTGAGCTGTGAACTAAGTGGGCTGCAGGATGGATGTGGCCCTGTGGTAGCTTGCTGGGCTGTGAATGTGGGGGCACGTGTGTGGGGCGCAGGCCAGGAAGGCCGGCAGGTAGAGACTACACAACCTTTACTGCTGGTCCCCAAAAATTGGACTAAGATCTCAGGCGGTTTTCCTTGAGGTTGGCTATTTTTGAGGGCTCACTGAAAGGAGCCTGGGTCCCTTGGGAGGGGAGTTCTGAGTGTCTGAGCACAGGCTGCTCTGCTGCAGCTTAGTCTGGGGGACACAGTCCTGGGACAACTTCTTCCCCCCCCCCCTTTTCAAAGTACTTTCTGGAAGTTGATATCTGCAGTTGATTCTGGTTTTTTCTGTGTCTATTTCTCAGAGTTGGGGTTGTCACAGTTAAAGGTCTGTTGGAGGGTGAAAAGGAAAATGAACCATCAGATAGGAAGTGACTGATCTGGGGAATGGGTTGGACCTCAGTGGGGCTACAGGGAACTCCAGTTTGAAGTAAGGTCAGTGACCAAAAGCTGAAATCTCATCAATGTGAGAGGCTTACGGTAGATCGGTGACCTAGAAGGTCCTCTAGGAGGAGGTAGCTTTTAGGCTGAGCCCGTACTTAAGCTGCCAAGGAGTCAACCTTGAAAGGAATGGAGGAGAGATGCTCCTGGAAGACAACTTGCTCCAGGAGGTAAAGGAGAAACATGTCTTTTAGCAGGATTTTCACTTCAATAGACTCATTGGCCAAAAGAATGAGTAACTCAGTGGCATTTACAGCAGATGATTAGGAATTTGACAGCCATGTTTTCCCTTTCCTTAATGTTTCCAGATGGGCGTGAGTGTGGTGGATGCTTCCGTGGCAGGACTTGGAGGCTGTCCCTATGCACAGGGGGCATCAGGAAACCTGGCCACGGAGGACCTAGTTTACATGCTGACTGGCTTGGGCATCGACACGGTAAGCCCGCCTGTCCCCTGGAGGCGATGTCCCTGAATTGGCTAGAGTTCTGCTTGAGAACAGAACCAGTGGTTTTTTCCTTTTATTTTTCTCCCGAGAGGAAGTGTGAGGCGTGTGCCTTAAAGAGGGCAAGGTTGTTGCCAGAGGATTGGTGCTGTTGTATCCTGTGTGATGGACTGAGGCCACGAGGCCAGCTTATCAGTGAGTGACAGGGCAGTTCCAGGAGGCATAGTAGGAAGGACCCAGAAAGGATCAGCCCCTGACGGGAAATAGTCTGTCCCCTGGGGATTGTGTTTTGTTCTCTGTAAAATAAGGGCAGCAGAATTAGCCGTGAGGTTCTGCCGGTGCATAGGACCCCCACTGGCCCACAGGTCATGCTTGGGATCAGATGGAACTAGTTTTTTTTATTTCTTACATTGTTTTTAAATTTTTGGACAGTATTTGATTTCTCCCCTCAGGCATAGTCTCCGTAGTTCTCCCCCCATAGCAACGGTGACCTAGCACCACAGTCCCTAGTGTTCTTCCTCCCACTCCCCTGCTGTCTCAGACCTATGGTCAGCTTGCAAATTTTGTGTTTTTTCCTGATCTTTTGTTCAGTTTCTCTATATTCTGCATATAACTGAAATCATCCAATACTTATCTTTTTCCTTCTGACTTATTTCACTTAGCATAACCCCCCAGCTCCATCTGTGTTGCTGCAAATGGCTTTTTTGATGGCCGAGTAGTATTCCTTTGTGTATATATTACAGCTTCTTGAGCCATCCTTCTGTTTGGGGGCATTTAGGTTGTCTCAGAACTGGTTTTATTACCTATTTTTTGCATACTCACTTAGGCTTCTAAACTGACAAGCTTTTAATCACTTCATCTCTCTGGACGTAAGGGATGAGTAATACCAGTGTTTATCTCATCAGTTATGAGGATTAAGTATAAAAAGTAAGATGGTTAGCCCTGAGCTGTGCACATAGTACATCAGAAGATGTGAGTTACCACGACTTTTCAACATGGCCCTTTGTGGACAGCCCTTTACTCCTGCCTCCCCGCCTCACCAAGCTTATCACTTAGCTATGTAGGTTTTGGCCCAATGGTCCAGCCTTGTGCTAGGCCCTGGAGGGGGAGACCTGAACAGGACTGATGAGCGGCCTTCCTGGTGGTGTCACTACAAACACAGCAGGAGGTATCTTATACCAGGGAGTCAGGGCAACCTCAGATGCCAGGAGATGACCTCATGGGCAGCTGGGGTCCCACTGTCAGGAATAAGCACGTTTTCACCTTTCAGTCTGTCCAGTCTGCTGCTCCCCTGGGTGGAGGGCTTGCCGTGACTCACTGCATCCCTAACTTATTTCTCAAAGGGTGTGAACCTCCAGAAGCTCCAGGAAGCTGGGACCTTTATTTGTCAAGCCCTTAACAAGAAAACCAGCTCCAAAGTGGCTCAGGCTACCTGTAAACTGTGAGCCCTCGTGCCTACCCAGAGCCCTGAGGGCTGTGCGGGACTAGGACTGGCACCCATGGATGATGCCCTGATGGACACTTGGAAATGGGGATGAAATTAATGAGCAGGTACCTCACGGCCAGCTCTGCACTTAGGACTCTCCTGCAGGAAGAGGCAAGGAACAGGAGCTGCATGGCCCCAGCCCACCCAGCTAGATGCCGGCAGGAGTCAGAGGCTTTGGAGGCGGGGGGGGGGGGGGGTCTCCCTTCACCATGGACCCATGAGCCCAGAAGTTGGACCCAGTTTCTTGGCTTGGGCTGGTCATCAGGCCTCATCTCTGGTGAGATCTAGGTATCCCATTGCACTCATCTGTGCAGTTGGTCCAAGGGGCCATTGCGCTGACTTTGTAGGGCGCTGGGGCAAGGAAGAGGGTATTTGCTGAAGAAGTGAGGGTGAGTTGTGGTGGCCCCTGCCAGCTCCAACGCCTCTGGAAGACCTTTTCTCTGAAGGTGATTTTTAAAAACATCCTATATAATTAAAGGTTTAATGACAGAAACATTCCACTATGTGTGTGTGTGATGAGCGTGCCAAAGACAGATGGAGAAATAAAACATCTTTTCAACGTTGCACTCAGAAAAAGAAAACGTACACTTTACTAGTCACCTCTGGACTCACTGTTTCCCAGCAGCGTCTACACAGAGGCTCTGGGCTGCTCAGGCCTGGCCACAGCACTCCGGACGTTGTCGGGGAGGCTGCTGGCTCTGAGGCGGCCTGATGCACAGGCTCCCCGGCCGCTTCCGGCCCGGGCAGGCCCCGGTCTGAGCGCTCTTAGCCCCTTGTCCCTCCAGCTCTACCCGTGTCAGCGCCCTTTCTGGACACGGGAGGCCCTGCCATTCCAGACTGCTCGTGCATTTGAGAGCCCAGGTCTCATCGCCAGTGTGCCGCGCCTTTCCCTAGCTTTGTTTTAAACAGGAACATTTCCTACTCGTGTGGTGGCAGGGTGCAGACATCACTGCCAGCAGTTGGGACCACAGCCAGCAGCTTGCAGGCTGGGCGGTGGGCGCTGTCATTCCGCCTCCCTCCGGCTGCGGGGTTTTCACGCTACACTGCTCCCTTCCGACTACGCCGCGCCTGCGGGCTTTGTTCCACGCAGTTGTTATGTTTCCTTGGCAAATGAAAAAAGGCTAGCAAACCCACGGTTGGCGTGACCCTGGGCTAGTCGATCGCCTCCCGGGCCGGTGACTCCGTCCCGGAGCAGCTGCCGGCGAGCCCGTGTTCCTGCGCCGCATCTCCGCCCGCCTGGGGGCGCGGCGCCGCCTTCGGAGGAGTCCGCCAGGGGCGGACCGCGCAGCTCGGGGCCCGGGGCCGGCCGCGCCAGGACTAGCTTACCGACCCCACTGGGGCGTGTGGGCCGCTGCCCGAGCGCGCCGCGCAGGCGCCCAGAGCCGCTGTGCTTTTTGTCCTCCCGACGCGCCGTAGTGCCGGCTCCCAAATGACACGTTTCCGAGGGGGTGTGGTGGGGGCGGAGCCAGGCCTGGCTACGACCCTTAAAGGGACCCTGGGCTTCGGGCCCCGGAGGCGGTGCCGCTGGAAGCTGCGCGGGGCGTGAGGTCTCGAGCAGGTTCGGGAGGCGAATGAGGGCGCCGGGCGGGCTCGCGAGGGGCCAGGTGGTCCGTAGGGGTGCGAGGGAGAGTTCGGGTGGCGGGACGCGTTCGGGGCAGAGTCCAGGCAGCGTGCGCCCGCCCGCGCACTTTCCAGTTCTTGCTGTCTGACTGGGGCGACCGGGTTCATTCATTCCCGGCCTGGGGACTCCTCGGTCCGCTCCAGCCACTGCCCCAATCCCGCCTCGAACACCAGCACCCCTGGCTTCCATTGCACAGACTGGGGAAACTGACGAGGTGACAAACGGGCGGGCACCCTGCGAGTAGGGAGCACGACCGGCGTCGCCAGCCTTTCCGGCTGCTCGTGGCTCTCCCCGACCACTTTCCCCGGGTCCGCACTGTGCATAAAACTCTGCGGTGGGGGCCGAGTGGGGAGGGGGGCCGAGTGGGGGTGAGGGCAGCCGGCTCTGGAGCGGAGTCCAGCGGCAAGGGGGAAGGGCGAGCTGCTGGGGCTGCCTTGTGAGCCGGCAATCGGATTCTTTGGCTATCACCCACTGATCTCAGCAGTTCTTCTGTCTGACCTCGGTATCCTTCTTGTAAAGTGCCAGTACGAACACCTGCCTCATCAGGATGTTGGGATTCGGGAAAATAATGCAGAAGTGCTCTGTGTAGATCCTGGAAGCGGCAGCCAGCGCTCAGTCAAAGTGGGTGGGAGCTGGATGAGCCCAGAAGGGGTTGGGTTGACTTGGAGGAAAGCGGCTGCCAGCCAGGCCGCTCCAAATGAAAGGCCTCAGTGTCTGAGGCGTCCTACCCCCTCAGCCCCTTCTGCTCAGTTTGTTCAGGGCGGAGGTGCACACCTGGCAGCAGAGTCAGCCAAGGCCACGTCTACAACTCCTGGCTCAGTGTGGCCAAGCTGGGCGGGAACCGTAGTTCTCAGCCAGGGATGACCTGCTGGCCCCTGGCATCAGTAGAGGCCAGCCGCCCCAGTTGCCAGGGGGTGGGGTGGGCGGGACCTACTCCCTTGGCTCAGCCAGCCTGGCCAACGACCCCACCCTGAGGCCATGTGGTATATATACTTCCTGCTTCCTTCCAACTGACCCCTGAGGAAGAAGGGAGCCAGGCTGCCAGGAGCAGGCGGCATTAGTCACTGCGCAGAAGAGCCAGTTCACCCCTGGCAATGGCAGCGGGACTGGGAAGACCTGAGTCTTAGCAGACAAAATCCCTTTCTGGGCTCCTGGAGCCCCAATTCTATGGCCATGTTCCCTTCTGCCTGGGACAGACTAGTTTCCACACACTCTGTGGAGCCTCAGGTTGCATCTTCCCAACCACAGGTCGCTTTGGACTAGAAAACATGACACCTGTGTATCAGGCCTGTTCCTTGTGACAGGCCTTTCAAGTCACCTTATTTGACCACATGATAGTTGCACAATTATCAGCTCCAATTTACAGAGATAGAAACCAAGTCAAGAGGAGAAAAGCGGTCTCCAGACCAGAAAGTGATGGGACCCAGACTTGGGCCAGGGCTGAAAAGCGAGCCACCTGTTAACTGGAACACTCTGCTGCCTCCTTCCAAGACCAGACTCTGGCTGGAAGGTGGCCCTGAGCAGGCATCTCGGCAACTTCTGTGATTCTGCATCCTGGACTAGGTACAATGGCAGAGAAGGTGCTGGTAACAGGCGGGGCCGGCTACATCGGCAGTCACACGGTTCTGGAGCTGCTGGAGGCAGGCTACTCGCCCGTGGTCATTGACAACTTCCATAATGCCATCCGCGGTGAGCACAGGGGCCAGCGGCCAGGCTGGGATTTCTGGAGGGAATGGAAGAAAACCCGACTCCACCTCTGAGACGTGTGTAGCTGGCTAGTTCCTGGGGGCGTCAGGATCCCATCTCTCATGTTCTGATGGCCTCCATGTGCCCAGGCAGGTAAGGGATCCATGCCTGAGAGCCTGCGGCGGGTTCAGGAGCTGACAGGACATTCTGTGGAGTTTGAGGAGATGGACATCTTGGACCAAGCGGCCTTACAGCATCTCTTCAAGAAGGTGCTTGGCAGGCAGGCAGGTGGAGGGGTGGGGCGGTGGCCTGCCAAGAGCCTCCACATTAACCTCTTACCTTTGCCCTTACAGCATAGCTTTATGGCGGTCATTCACTTTGCGGGGCTCAAGGCTGTGGGCGAGTCAGTGCAGAAGCCTCTGGATTATTACAGAGTTAACCTGACGGGGACCATCCAGCTTCTGGAGGTGAGATGTGCAGCAAGGAGATAGACACCCCAGCCTGGTAGGCAGTGCCCAGCACAGTGGCACTATGGATAAGAGCTTGAGGATTGTCATTCAGGGCCAGTCTTCTTTGTCTCTCAGCTAGAGTCTGCCCATTGATAAATGGAAGTATCCATACCTCAGCTCACCAGACTATAAAGGAAGGAGTCGAGGGTGGGAGTAACATGAAGCAGTAACATGTCTCCCTTTCACGGCCAGGTCATGAAGGCCCATGGGGTGAAGAACCTGGTGTTCAGCAGCTCGGCCACTGTGTATGGGAACCCCCAGTACCTGCCCCTGGATGAGGCCCACCCCACTGGGGGCTGTACCAACCCCTACGGAAAGTCTAAATTCTTCATTGAGGAAATGATCCGGGACCTGTGCCAAGCAGACCAGGTGAGGTCCTCCCTTCACCCAGCCTCCTCACTGCCCTCCCCAACCCCCCAGCCTGAGCAGCTGCCAGCCAGGAAGCTTAGCAGCGGTGGGGCTCCCCCCCCCAGCACTGTTCCTTTCCAGGAAAAGAACAGCCAGGTGGCAGGGGTGTAGGACTCTGGTTTTACTGGGGCCTGCACCTGTACCTGCCCCCTCCCCCCCAGACCTAACGGTGTCCCGCAGGCCTGGAACGCAGTGTTGCTGCGGTATTTCAACCCCACGGGCGCCCACGCCTCAGGCTGCATCGGGGAGGATCCCCAGGGCATCCCCAACAACCTCATGCCCTATGTCTCCCAGGTAATGGTGGGAAATGACAAGAGGGGTGGCCCCAGGGTTGAGGGGTACAATTGGTGCCAAGGGCCCGGGAGGAGCTGACGTGACCTCCGCACCAGGTGGCCATCGGCCGACGGGAGATACTGAATGTCTTTGGCAACGACTATGACACGGAAGATGGCACAGGTAAGCCCAGGACCAGGAGGACCCAGGAAGGGGAGCCAGGAGGAAAACTGAGGTAGGACAGAGACTGGGCTGAACCCGCTACCCAGACTGTCCTCCTCTGCAGGTGTCCGGGACTATATCCATGTCGTGGATCTGGCCCAGGGCCACATTGCAGCTTTGAAGAAGCTGAGAGAACAGTGTGGCTGCCGGGTAGGGAAAGAAGGGAAGATGGGCGGAGAGGAGGGAGAGCAAGTCCTGGGCAAATGTGGCCAGAGAAGTACGGAGTCCAGTCTTCTCCACAACCCCTTTTTCCTCTTCTGGGCAGATCTACAACCTGGGCACAGGCACAGGCTATTCGGTGCTGCAGATGGTCCAGGCCATGGAGAAGGCCTCCGGGAAGAAGGTAGGCTAGTGGGAGGATGGGGTGGCTGGGCGGCCTACCTGATGGGCACCCCACTGCCACATCTGCTCAGCTGGCCTTTGTGCCAGGCACCTGCAAGCTAGGGCCTGCCTCGCACCTCCATTTCTCAAGGGGTATGGGCAAGGCCAGCTCAGCTGAGTTCCGAGGGCCCCCTCTTACAGATCCCGTATAAGGTAGTGGCGCGGAGAGAAGGCGACGTGGCTGCTTGTTACGCCAACCCCAGCCTGGCCCGGGAGGAGTTGGGCTGGACTGCAGCCTTAGGGCTGGACAGGATGTGTGAGTGCTGGCTTGAGCCCTGGGAGAGCTGGGGCTAGGAAGGGGCTGACCGGGGCTGCGCGTGCGTGCCTATCCTGGGCAGCTCTGAGGTGGTGGAGGCCCCGCGTTCCAGGGTGGACTCTGACCCACACCTGGCTGTGTTGCAGGTGAAGATCTATGGCGCTGGCAGAAGCAGAACCCCGCAGGCTTTGGCACACAAGCATGAAGACTGTCCTGTATCTTGCACCAGAGAAGGGAAAGAGAACAACTGCTTGCTCTCCAGCTCTGGCAGGAATGCAGGGGCCTCAGTACCCCTCTACCTCAAACCCCAGCTGGGCCTATTCAGCCCACCAGGTCTGAGGCTGAGGACTCCTGGTAGGAGTAGGAGTCACTAACTCCTCTCTCCCACAGGGGTCAGGAACCCAGTGGGACCCCAAGAGCAAGTGGGGGAGACAGGGCCCTGGGATAAAAGCCCCTCCACCAGGGCACTAATTTATACTGCTATGAAGGCGCTTTCCAAAGTATTTAAAATAAAATGTTTTCTTATGCTGGGGCAGATTTTCACAGATGTTCACTCTCTATCCCTTGGATAGACTCAGCCAGGCCTAAGAGTTGAAGCAGTTTCTTTAATTTTATCGGAATCCAGGACACACAAGAAAAACACCCAAAACCACATGAAGACAGAAGACGAGACACAACTCCTCCCCCACGGCCCCTTGGCCCTAGTGTGGGGACAAGGTGGGGTGAGGCAGCTAGGAGAGACCTTGAGCCTCGGGCCAACCCTGCAAGCTCCTGGCCTGCAGGGAAGGAGGGTGATGGGGAGGCAGGGCCCAGCCCCCGTGTTGGGAAAACTGCTGAGGGAAGGCCCCCTCGCCAGTACTGCCAGAGGCAGCAGCCCGCAGCAGCAAGAGGGCCCGGGCACGGACACATTCATGACTGAGAAGCAGCTGGAGTGGAGGCAGGAGAGACATACGATTATCTGGGCAGAATCAGTTGGGGGTGGGGTGGTGGTAGGTGGGGCCTGGGAGGGCCCCATGGGCCAAACCCTGAGGTCACAGGAGGGGGCCCAAAGCGGGGCTAGTGAGTGAGGTCCTGAGTGAGTGGGTCAGCGGCTGGGCCCCTTTCTCCCGCTGCCTACAGCCCCTCCAATACTGCTGCCAGGGGGCCCACCTCCAGGGAAATGGGTAAGAAAGCAGCCCACCACCTGCTGCTGCAGAGAGCCAGTGGCTGAGGAAGACCTGGCCAGGCCCACCTGCCCCAGAGGCCTGTGGGAAGAGAGTAGGTTGGGAAGGGTGGGAACAGGGGCTCGACCGGCTCAGATCCAAGATGGTGCCACGCTTGCTGGGTCCCCCTGTGAGCTGGGGGACTATGCTGGGGGTCAGCGATGCTGGTTAGACAGGAGGCAGCAGCTTCTCAAGAAACTCCTTCACAGCTGCCATCTCCTGAGGGCGAAGGGGATAATTGTGAGAGGTTCCTGGCTGGAGGGAGGAGGAAGAGGTGGGAAGAGGGAGAGGTAGGAGGAGTGGGCCCCACCACTGACCTGAGGACAGCAGGTGTGCATGACACCTGGGTAAGTCTTGAACTGGACCCTGGCGGGTGTGACAACCGACCGGAGCTTCTCGGCAGTCAGGGCCCCAAACCGTACGGGAACCATGGGGTCCAGCTCCCCATGACACTGAAGGATGGCCAGGTCCTTAGCACTGCCATTAGCTGCCTGTGGGCCAGACAGGACTCAGAGGACAAAGCCAGCACTCTGGCACAGCCCCCAGGCCACAGCTGACCAGAACAGGAGGGATCTCGGGAACACTCACCTGGGGGAAGGCCTGATGCAGAGGCAGCCAACAGCTCAAAGCCACAATGCCAGCCAGAGGGTGGGGGCAGGTGAGAGCAGTGTAGAGGGACAGGGCCCCGCCCTGGAGGGAGGAGAGAATGAGAGGTCATGAGGGCACTGCTCACCCACCTGCCACCCACCGCCCTCTCTCTCCCCTCACCTGTGAAAAGCCTCCCAGGACGATACGATTGGCAGGGATCCCATTCTTCATCTCGTGCTCAATCAAAGCCTTGACTGGGGGGAGGGGGCACACCTGGGTGGGGGAAGCTGCGGGAGGGGCCCAGGGAAGGGAGCCAGACAAGTTCTGCCCAAAGCTTTGAGGGGGAAGAAGAAGAGGTGGGGGTGCTGGAGGGGGTGGGGCTTACTGTTCTCTGCTGCCTTCTTGATGCCAGCCTCGTCCTCAGGGGCGTCTGGACTCAATCCCATCAGGTCAAACCTGGGGGAGCAGAGGTAATGGCAGCTACTGGCAGAGCCCCGCCAGCACCCAGCAGCTCCCTCCACTGCCCTCCCTGCTCCCCCAACTCACCAGGAAGGCATGACCATCTTCATATTGAGTGTCACAGGGATGCGAGGCCTGCAGAGAGACTATGCTCAAGAGGGATGAAGCCACGCCCCAGAGCACAGGCTTGGGGCAGAGCACTCTGGGGGCGCCTCCCAGCAGGCAGGGCCTGTGTTTCAGGTGTTGCCAGGCAACCTGCCACGTGGGGCTGGGGCCTGTTTGGGGCAGAAGCCGCAGCAATGGAGTAGCAGTGCGCCACTCAGCGTGACGGGGTCCTCTCAGTCGGTGAGTACTTGGAGGGACGGGGGCACTGGCTGTCCTGCTCCTAGGGGGCCTCAGGTCTAGGGGGCCTGGGGCTGGGTGTTGGACCCCATTCCTGGGGGGTCCACAGAAGTGAAAGCCACAAGGCTACTCCCGACTGCCCTGGGCCCGAGCCCCAAGACACACCTGCAGGAGCACCTAGGCTTGGGATCACAGGCTTCCCCCCAACAACAGACTCAGCGCCCCCCTGCTTGGGTGACACTTACGCATGGGGACAGATGTACTTGACGTGAGGAAGGCGGATGGAGGAGAGGGCGTCAGCCCAGCTGTGCCTATAGGAGAAAGGGAGAAAAGGCACTGATAAGGGAGGCGGAGGAGGAGCAGGGCCTATCCAGCCTGGTGCTAGGCACTTGCCCCCACCCCGTGAGCTCCCCCTTCCCAGCCCACTTACCCTGTGTCTCCAAGTCCATGTAAAAAAATAACCTGGAAAAGAATCAGAGAAGGGAGATGGGAGACAGGGCAATCACCATCCTGCCCTATCGACTTCTGTCCTCCAACTTGTGGTGCCCTGAACCCCTCCCCACACCTGGGAGCTAAGGTAGCAACCTAACAGGTCATTAGCCCCAGGCCTCCTGGCTTCAGGCCACTCCCCTCCTCCCCCCCTTCCCTAACTGGCCAGGGGGATGGCAGGGGAGGGAGGGCTCTTACCGCAGCCGTTTCCCGCTCAGCTCCAGACACAGTGGCAGCATCAGTGAGCAGGGGCACAGACATGGTGTTACCGCACATACACTGCAGGCCTCCAAGGCTGGGGCCTGTCAGTCAGGGGGCAGTCAAGATCAAGGCCAGGCAGGAGCAAGACTCTTGACACAGGGGCATAGCCTCAAACCCAGAGGCCACCCAGTCACCAACCCCCACAGCACCTCGGGTTCTGTCCTGGGCCCCCTGCAGCCTGGCTTGGGTGCGTCACACCCCCTGAGCTCCCTGAAGAAGTCAGAGGCAGGGCTCAGGACCCTGGCGGGGGCAGCCAGGGGCCCCCAGTGCCTTCCCACCAACTACACTGCTCAGCACTAACTGCCTCATCCCTGGCTCTGTTGCCCCCCTCCCGCTCCTCCCAGCAGATGATGGAGAGAAAACTGCCAGGGAATTATGCGCGCAGCCCCCACCACATACATTCTCCAATCTCCCTGCCTTTCAGCCCCCGTCAGTCTTCAAGGAGTTTTTGGCTCCCCATTCCCAGATGGCCTGGGGGTTGCCCGCAGCCCAAAAGGCACACCATCCACATCTACTCACCATCCACACCCCCTGCTGCTGCCCACTAACTCCAAATGGGTCCGGGCTAGACTGCACTCAGGGACTCCCAAGCACAAAGGAATGTCAGGCTGGCCGGCTCCTCCCCATCCGAGCATCCTCCCAACTCTCCGGATTCTTCCCCGCCAGTCCCCCAAGCGCCCATCCTCCCACCCCCCAGCTGGCTCCCAGATTCCACCTGTCCCCGTCCACCCCTCCACACCGGATCCTTCACTTCTGATCCTGGGGTCCCTCTTCCCACAGGCGAGGGCACCTTTTGCCCCAAGTTGAGGTTCCCTACTTTCTCGCAGGGGACTTGCACCTCTCTCCCCGGTCCCCATGTCTCACGGAGGTGCCCTCCCGCCCCGACCAGGGTTCTCGCTCCCCACAGTAAAAAACTTCGTTGATTCTGGGCTCCCACAAGAGACCAACGTGGGAACTTCTGTGCCGACCAAGGGCCACCCCCTCCCCGCAGAAACATCTAGATCAGGACCCGCTCCTGTCACAAAGGGGTGTTCTACCTTTGACCCTGGGAGTGCCCGCCCACAAAAGGCGCTTCCACTTCCAAGGCTGGAGTCCCTGTCATCACACCCCAGCCTTCCTGTCCTGTCCCCCAAGTCCTCAAGACCGGCCAGTGCCTCTTCGCACATCACTCCCCACCCCCATCCCTCACAACCGTGCTCCCTCCCCACCCGCCAGGCCAGCGTGGGTCTCCCCAGCGCCCTCCCGCTGCCTGGGCCGGAGGCTACCTCTACTCCCTGGGGCTTCGAGACCTCTCGGCGAGTCTCCTCTTTCTCCCGCACAGACACACACTCTTCCCCCTCCGCCGCCCCCACCGGAACTTCCGCTCGAGTCCCGGGAACCCAGCCATCGTGCTGCCGGAAGTAGCCTGGCCAGCGCTACGGAACCCGGAAGTGGGCGTTGGGGCTTCGCCCATAGGAGCTGCCATGTTGGATCGGAGGGTCCCTCCCCGTGAGTAAGTTGGAGAGGCACCTGCAGCATCTGGGCAGTGCATCCCAGAGACGCCCACTCACTGCCACCACCCCTCCCCCTCCAGAAGGAAAGCTTTCTGGAGGGAAAAGGCATCCCTCACCGCCCCCCCCCCACCTTCCCCGGCCTTGGGGATTCACCACTGACAGCATGGTGGACAGACATGCCTCTAGGGACCCTCTGGCCTTCCAGTCTTACTTTCAAGATGAGGATCTGAGTTTCAGGTAGGGGAAGTAAATAAACAACAATCTCAAGATGACCCTGTAACGCTGCCTTGCTGCGTCTGCTTCCTGAACTGTAAATTGGTGATAATAACCACCCCAGTCTACTTCAAGCTTTGCTCAAATGAGGTCAAACGGAAATGCTTTGTACACTGTTAAATCAGTGTGAGGCCTTAATGACTCTAAAATCAACCCTGGGAAAATAACACAGGCCATACCAGGACAGCTGGGCAGGCATGGACAGTGTTGTCTTAGCTCTGCTCCAGACAAGCCAGCCATGCAGATAATGTGCAAAATATCACCATCAATAGTGCCTAGTTACGAACAAGAAGGGCTTCGTCTGGTCAGTCTTAGCCCCTTGCTTGCTCTGGTAAAGTGGAGACAGGGCTCAGTATCCACAGTAAGGTTAGAAAGGGAGGCAAGTTGTTGGAGAACCACACCCTGAGAAAACATGTGGGCATCTCAAACTGGAAATGACTTCTGCTCATCCCTCATCTTAGGGCTCATTCTCCCAGCTTAAGCTGCACATTTTCCCTTGAACTAAAAACAGTGAACTTGGAAGCTCAATAAAATACTTTCCCCCAGATCGAGTAGTTTACTCTGAAGTGCTCAAAGGATCGATGACAGGACCTAAAACCTAGGATTCTAAGCAGGAAAATGGCACCCAGGGGACCACAATAAGCCAAAGTCCCAAGAGTAAATGTCAGAAGAAAGTGAAGATGAATGGACAAAGACCATACAGCTGCACCTCACCCCCAACAGAATGCCTGCTAGGTCTTTTATGAATGATTCCTGCACCTTCGATCTCTGAGACACTGTGGGCTCTGAGCGAATTCTTCAGAGTGAAACTTCATATGCAGAGATCTAGGGCTTTAATTTATGGAATTGGCAAAGAACTAATCTCTTCTGAGATTCCTAACTTTTCTCTCCTTGCTCCAAGTGAAAACACAGCTCTTTTATCTCCAAAGTGATCCAACTAAAAGAGGCTGTGGCTGACGAGTAGGATCCTTAGTGCAGCGGGAATTGTTTACACTCTGATTCCAGGCTGCATTTTAGAAAACATGATGTTCAGCTAAACTTCGGTGTCTTTTCTAGCAGAAAGTAGGCAAATTCCTCAAAGGATTCATGGAGGAATGTAGTGGGTGCCCTCCCCAGCCTAAAGCTCCCAGGACAAGGTGAATCTGCTGAGGAATATATACTCGCTGTGACTGCCCAAGAGCCTACCTCAGGACCCTCTGGATGAAGACAGCCGGGGAAGGAAAAGGAAACAACAGCAATTAAGAAAAAGGTCAGATTCAACACTAATTCCCATTTTTTCTGCAAAGGAAAGAATGACCATCTCAAATTCCAGTTCTTGTACTGATTTTAAAAATTTATGTCCCAAGTTTTGGGTCCACCTCAGACAGAAATGTGCTGCTCACTCACTTTCCTCATCCCCATTTCTTCTGGGACTCTGTAAATGCCATTCCACAAGTTACTACTTTTCACCTTCCTCTGCAAAATGTGGGTGGGTGTAGGAGTGTTTTTAGCCTACAGTACAGAATTAAGCTTTCTTTCCTTGAGAAACTGACCTCATCTTGATACACCTGCAGTTGTCTAAAATAACAAATTCCAAAGTTCTACACAGTTCTCAGTAAGCTTCACTGTAAATCAAGAACACAACATACAACCATTAAGTTTGGCAAAGATTTATTTGGAAGCTTATTAGTCACAGTGAAAAAAAGCCATCAACAGAAGAGCTGAGATCTCCAATTCTGGCTTTGAGCTTACAACACTAGTTGGAAACTAATAAACATTAAAGATGTCCCAGGGGGTTGCTGAATCCCAACTGGATGGTGAGGAGGATACCTACACACACACAGAAATGGTGTCCCCAGACTGCTTATGTGGGTGGTAGGAAAAAGGCCTTCTCCCCAAGCTATTAAATGTCATCAGGGATTCCTGCTCTTCTAGCTATTACCATAGGACACTTGGGCCTGACAGGTAACTCCAAACTGGGCAACTTGACAAGAACGCTGAATGATGACAGAGATGGAGCAAGCAGGGACAAGTATTTTCATTTGAAGACCTTCCTGACAGCTAATACAAACACAATGCCGAGTCTTCAGAAAAGCTTACTGCAGGCCAGGCTGAGATAACATTTTAAAAAAACAAGTCACATTATTAAAATCCTGCTGTAAAGCAACACTTGAGATCCCCTGGCCACACTGACTGCAAAGACAGGCAGTATCCAGGAGCGCCAGGTGCGCTCCTAAGACCCATTTCTGCAGTGACCTAGAGAACTGTGATTGCCCCTCAGTCCCCACACAACCCTCCCTGGAGGTGCAGATGTCTCCACAGGCCAGGTTTCTGCAGAAGGCCCCAAAGACGAAGCTTGGAAGACGCCGTGGCAGCCATCTCTCTCTGGAGCCAAACTTTGTCCTCCTCAACAGGTTGTTATACATCTTCACTGATGTGGCCCTCGCTAAGCGCCTGGGCCAGCACTTAGGAAATGAAGTGTGTCTGCGGGGTAACCTGATGGACCTTGTGGTCTGCTGGATTGGCTGATGCTTCATAATTGCAGATTGTCACCTCATGCCGGCGAAGCTGCAAGAAAATTGAGAGGCTAGGTCAGCTAGCCATTTCCCAGACCACACTCATTGGTATGGTCCATATCCAGGTTCATTTCCAGAAGTCATCATCTAATCTCTTCCTTCTCTGGTACTTTATCATTACCAATGACTTACCCCTTAACTTAGAAGGTTCATTCTCCTACTATCATGGCAGCACCATAAGAACAGAACCTTGTCTATCTTGTTTATTATCTTATCTCTGGTGTCCAGACAAAGGTTATCAAAAAAGTTGACTGAAGAAAATGACTTTTTAAAAAAATAATATAATAGTTTATTTTTACATCATTTTGTACTTTTTTTCCATCTCAATTGTTGAAGAAAATGATTTTAAAATGAAAAAAAAAGGAGAATTTTTATCAGTTATTATTTCAACCCCATTAAAATTACTCTTTACTGTCAAATGAGATGGATGGTTTACAATGAGGAAACCAAGAAAAAATATAAAACAGACAGCGAGCTATTAATGAGTGCCTTATTTGCTCTAGTTGCTTTTCTTTAAGCTCCCACAGCACAGCATGTGGTGATATTACACACAGACAATAATGCCTCCAACTCCATCTCACCTCAGTCCATTCTCCTCTCAGGCCAATGTAAAACACCTTTGTGGTATCTGCTCCAAAGTTTTTTGAAATATGAATTGAGAGATGATAGACATTTGAAAAACGAGAAATCCTAGGGACAAAAGGAATGGGGAGAGAAAATACGGGTTAGAGATCAAGGAAATCTCACCACATCAAAAACAATTCCAGCTCTCAATTATGGGAAAATCCAAGAAAACACCCTTGGGTTATGTTTCATTTTTCTCTTCTGGACAAGAAGTTCAGTGAATAGTTACTAAGCATCAGCTAGATTTTGCCTAGGAAACAGGAACAGAAAATTCAACCAACACTGCTTCTGCCCTCAAGGAGAAGGATGCAAAATGCTGTGTAACCAAGTAGGTATTCTAAAGCAAGCTCACCTCAACCTCAGAAAAGAGAGAGCCAGTAGAGAGAAGGTGGTCACCTTTAACTTGGCCATAGCACTCTAAGCCCAGCGTGCACAGGAGTGCTGAAAACAGCTTTCCTAAGGCCACTCTAGACGCTTACTGAGATCTGCCAAATGCACTGAAGTTAACAAGTCTGTGGCTTGCACTGAGTCTCTGCCAAAAGTTGACCGAGCCAAGGATCAAGCCTTCTCTGCTGTTTTAACTCGTTTCTGATGCTGAGAAGAGCAGACAGCCAAAAATAAAATGCATGCGTGGTAAGCATTAATACATACATGCTCATTGCAAGTGAGGAGTCTGCTGCTCCTCCAAAGACACAGAGATGGCAAGACAGGCCCAGGGCTTACTTTGTGGCATACTCTAATTCTCCTGTAAGGTCCCGGTTCAGACTAAAGGTCTGATCTGGCTCCCTGTCTGTATCATCAAAGGACATCTGTGGAATGTTCTTGTACCTGATAAAGGAAAAAAATGTCCATTATCACATTTTTTAGTCTTTTAAAACTTCCCACCAACTTCTCAACTGCCTATCAAAAAGAAATCAAATTCTGGAAATGGCATTTATACACAAAGATCTTTAATCAGCTTTTTGAGTGGGTTAAGATCACATGAGAAACAATACACAAAGAGATTGCTTAAACTAGGTCACATGCAGCAAGACTTGGAGAAAACAGCAACTCAGCACATTCAGACCAAGCTAAGGATGTTAAGTAAAATAGCTTACTCACGGGGAAAAATACTTTGGCAGAAACATTAGACTCAGTTAAAAGATAAAATCAGGTAACCTGATATTCAAGCATTTTTTGAATTTTTTGCTTGAAATTACCCTCTGTACTGAGTATGTTCTTTAAAAAAAAATACAGCTTGGAAATTTTCACTGTGAAAAGAGTACAAGAGACTGCAAACTCCAACCAGGTTTTGGAAAGTCACGTACAACTATTAATGAAGTATAAAATACTGAAAATAAAATAAAACTGCTAATGAAGAAAAAATATCTTTCAAAGAAATGGCTAAGAATCCCAATGCTGTCTCCTCCGTAACTCACAAATTGTAAAGGACTGAGCCACACCCCCCCACATCTCTGGTGTTTTGCTGACGCATCCACACAGTAAAGGCCTAGATATTAACTGAAGCACAATGCATGTAATTTAAGAAAGTAAATGTTTGCTTCAAAGTATTTCTAAGAATGATGCACAGAAGAAGAAGAATAGTAGTAAACATTTATGGGCGGCATTATGAGAGGCAGGTAACACTGTAGTTAAAAGCAGTGTCTGGAGTCAGACTTTATAGGTTTAAAGCCTGGCTCTACCAGCTTCACTTACCAACTAGGTAATTTTGGGCCTGTGATTTAACCTTTCTGTCAGTTTCCTCATTTGTAAAACTGGGCCCATGAGAGTACACATCCCATAGTTGATATGGAGATTAAACTGAATCAAATTATGCGACACATACATTTAAAAAGTATTAAGGTAAGTTTCAAACACAAAACTACAAAACAAAAACTACAAAAGTAGAGAAAATATAAAGCATCTCCTTATAACTATCCCTCAGCTTCAATAGGCAAGAAAATGTGCTGATTTACCACCCCCATTCTTTTTCTACTTGATATTTTTTCATTGAGTTAACTTTGGTTTACATCATAATTTGTGTTTTAGAGGTACAGGATCTCCCCTTCAGGTATTATTACACCAACCACTACCAAAGCCTCATAGTCCACCCCATAGTCCTTTGTGTTCTTGCCCCAACTGTCTGATATTTTTTATTACACATGTATCATTTTACACCCTTGTGTTTTCATGATATAGGATTTGTCTCCTCAGGTGTGGTCCCCATAGTATTCCCAATAACAAAGCACGCGGGGTACTCCAATACAGTCCACTGTGTGCTCCTCACCCTGTTTTCTACCTACATAGTCTTCCTCTGCTTGGTATTTTAAGGGGATCCTAAACATGTTCATTCCACTCATAAATGTTTCAGTATGTATATCTAAAAAGAAATTTAAATATATCTATGATGCCTTTCACAGTATATCTTTAATATCATCTAATACTTTCCAAATTTCACCAATTTTAAGTCACAATTTAACTTTTTTGGATGTGTCAAGGGCATGTGATAGTCAAGTAGGGAGTACTTCTTTAATGATAATATAGGAATGATGATGTATTTCACATTCATTGACATCTTAGATTCAAAAAAGCCTAATAAAGTCCTCAGTAATAGGGTGCTGGAAAGTGTGTAAGTAAAACCACATACAACAAAACCAGGCCTCAGAATAATGTCATTTTGCTCAACACCAGTGGAATTTTTTTCATCAATGTTAAGATGAAACATCTGAAGCCACGCTCTATATGTAACATGCTTAGAACCCAAAGGCTATCTATTTGTACATGTCCTACCCAAAGTAGGCGCTTACTATGTTCCAGACTGACTTTAAGGTCTTTATATGACATCATTTTATTCTTTCCAGTCTTATGAGGTCTGTACTATTACTGTTCCCACTTTACATATGAAAAAGACGAAAGAGATAAGCCTCAAAATCAGAAAGCTAGCAAGTGATACCACCACAATTTGAACGCATTTATTCCAGCTCCTATTCCTAACCAAATTGTAATACAAATGTGTAGTCTTTTCTAGCCATTCATCTCAAGCGATGAGTTTCCAAAAGCATCAACTCAAATGTACGTTGTTCCTTAAAATGCTTCACTATGTGGATTTGCTTGCAAATAGATTTTTAACATTCAAAGGCATCGGTTTCTTAATTCTCATTTAAATTGACCAATTTTTTCATTTTTTTTTTTTTAATGTAAAGTTCTTCTGATATCTGTTTCTCCAATATCTAGAAAGTGGTTTCCCCTTCATTTGGGAAAGTTATGCTGGAATAAGCCAACATGTCAAAAAAGGAAGTACCTACTTCTTTTGGTGAAACCAGAGCCCATATGCAATGGCATACGGAACTCTTGTAACTACACACAAGTTCAGATTCCATGTCAATGATGCACACACAAAGATTATAACTATGAAAAAGCAAGGGGAAACTTTAAACGGCCCCAGACATAGAAGGCAGAGAGATAAGCCCTGCCACAGGATGATAACGAAAACTGCAGAGTCATCAACAACTGACAGTCACAGGATGCTCTCAGGATGAATGGCGCCATGGTAGGCACCCTAAAAAGAAAAGATGTTGGCCTTACAGATACTTAATCTAAAAATTCAGGAAAATAAGTGCATTCTGATGCAGAACAAGAACCAGACCAAGATTAGGGAATGGTGTGGTGTTGATATTTATAACCCAGTTAAAAAATAAAATGTGACTCTAGAATATAGTGTTACTCAAGAAAAGAGAAAAAATTCTAGGAGTTTGAGGGCCTAAGCCCTTGCCACTTACAGTCTCATCTCAGAGGGGTGTGAGTCATCATCCTCTCCCATTATAATGATGCCTTTGAGCTTGACATTGCCTGTAAATCTGCCAGAATGCAAAAGAGAGGGTTGTCAGCATGGGTTTGATTTTCTGCTTAGCTGTGTGACCCTGGGCAAGACCCTTCCCATTTCTGGATTTCAGTTTACTCCTGTGTCAGACTTGACTAAGAATTTCTAAGGTCCTGTCTACTTCTGAGTTCTACTTCAACTTTGCAGTTATCTTTCAATAAATAGATCTTTTTTCAATCTGTATCAAGAAAGCTATGATGCTTTCCTCCTCAAATGCCCCACCATGATCTGCTCCACTGCAAGACACAGATGTGTGCTCTTGACACAAGCAATGAATGAATGGATTCAGCTAAGCCAACTGAAGACAGCTATTTAGCCTGAGGTGAGCACTATGGAGATACTTACGGAATATTAAATAGAAGCTCTTCATCCGCATCACTTTCAACAAACTGGAGGGGAGAGAGACGGAAGGAAAAAAAAAACATTTGCTCCAGAACCTAAAACTTCATGCATCTCCCACCCTATTCTACAATGAAGTACAAAGCAAACAGAATCAAACTCCCTCAGTTTTCCGGGGCATACTAACTTGAGATGAATCAGTTAATAGACACAGACCATGCAATCAGAGTTCTTAATGGGGAGCCCAGGAACAAAACTCCAGGGCGACTAGCCTCTTGACACTACGTGCAAAGCTCGGAGCCTAGGCCGTCCACTGCTTTCACCCAGCCTTGTGATGCCATCACGGTAATGCTCTGGACAGGGAAGGCAGACTCCATCTCCCTAGGTCTTTAGCCTTCCTGAGGCGTTCAGATCAGGTAGCTATTAGGGACAGTGGTCAAAGGCTAAGGAACACGCCCTCATGGTCATCCTCGTCACTCCCCACTGCCTGTCACCCACATCCCCGCTGCGTGGATCGCGTCGTCAAGGACCCCTTTGCCCTGCCTGGACTTCAGCACCTCTCCCGGCAAACCGAGGCTCTGTTCGCCTCCCAAAGGGGCTGTCACAAGAGAGGCACGGGAACGCCGCCGTCAGCCAGCATGCTGTTTTTAACATCAGGAGTAGGCTGACTGAACGCGGGTGGCGGGAGACCCCGCGCGCGCCCCGCCTCTCCCGCCCGTCCAAGCCCCGAAAGGCCAACCTTGGAGCGGTCGGTCCGCTCTTCCCACGGCTTGAACACGCCCCGGCCGCTGCCCTCGCGGCTCTCGTTGAGACACTGTAGCCGCTCCAGGTCGATGCGCAGGTACAAGCCGTAGGCTAGGCCGCGCTGCTCCGGGGGCTCCTCCCGTTCGGCGGCGCAGCGGCAGCCACCCCCGCCATGGCTGTGGCCGTGCGACATGGCGACGCCGCCGCCGCTACCTGTGCGGGGTTCCCTCCGCTCCGGCCGCCAAGCGCGCCGCGACCGCCGCGTCGTAAAAGGCGCGCCCGTGCGGCGCATGCGCCCCAGGAAGTGGGCGTGGCTCGGAGGGGCCGGCGTTTGACTGTGCTTCCGGTGCCAGGAATTCTTACTTTTTCGCGCCTGGAGGTGCCGCTATTGCTCTCCCTGCTTCGCAGAGGGGGACCTGAAGGGAGGAGAGATTAAGCTGGGACTCCGAGGACACGGTGGGGCGGGGATTCGAACCCCGCCCCCCTCCTCCCCGGGCTAAAGTCTCCGCTCCTTTCTTTACGGCGCTGTTTCCTCGGGAGCTGGTGGTTTAAAGCTGAGAACGCCGAGTCCCTGAAGTGCCCGGCGCGGCGTTATCGTCGCCTCATGTGTGAGCATTTAGCGCGGAGCTCACAGACCCGCGCTCCTAACCTGTCTCTTCAGCGAGCACTTAGCGGTGAAGCGCACGGCCGCCGGAGACAAGTCCTGAATCTGCCACTGACGGCGTGACTCAATAAGCCGTTGTCCCCATCCTGAGACTGCCTTTCCGCGTCTTAAAGTGGGAGTCAGATGTGTCTCGCAGGAACACAGTGAGTATTACATGAATGAAAGCACTTCGATTTTAGCACGATGACTGACGCTCGCTGAGAACTCAGTAGCCCGGTCAGAGGGCTCAAATCCAAGCACCGCCACTTCGGCTGTGTGGGCAAGTGAATTAAGCTCTGTGAGCCTGGTTGGTGCAAAAGTGCTAAGACTGGGAGAGGACCCACAATCAGGCAACCCTTTTCATATCGGGGTTGCCCTGCAACGATTGGACAAAATTACCTTTACCCCTCCCCATAGGCTATCTCAGAAGGTGTTTCAAATAGCCAACTGGTTGCGACTCATTCATAGGTCTTAAAATTCACTAGAGGATTGTGACTAGCTTTCAGAAAATGCAATACAATTTAAAATTCAGAATGTATCTTACATGCAAGTCTTAATTTATGGAGCTTTGGTCTTAGCGTTCAGTTTGTGTACTCAGCCGAAATGTAGAATGTTTTTCATATTGTGGTTGAGGCCAAAAGGACTAAAAGCCACTGTTTAGAGCTGAAATGATTGTAGTTGTGTATGAGTAGCCCTCGTGGCTCCTGGTTCTCTGAAGGCGCCCAGGTGCCCAGCTGAACATCATCAGCCTGTGCGGCAACCTGGTTTGGCTTTAAGGGAAGAGGGGGAAACCCAGGGCAGTTTTGTAAACAGGTGGATCAGCCCGGTTCCTTCATATACAGGAAAGTTTATCTGCCCAGCTTTGGTGCCAGACAGTGAGGGCAGGTTGGATGTGAGGGCAGGTTGGATGCACTACCAGGGTTTTGGTTTTGAAGCCCAAGCTAGCTTTTTTTTTTTTTTTTAAAGGGTGGGGTTCCAGCTCCCCTGGCACCATCAGGTTCAAGCTTGCAGGGACACCAATTAAGTCTTGGAAACAGCTGGTTTGGAAAACAGACCAATCAGATTCGAACGGTACCTTGAAGGGAGATATTAGCCAAAGTTTCAGGGAGGCCAGAGACTCCACTTGAAGGAAAAGGGTTTTAGGAGATGCTAAACTTGACAATGAGACATAAAGAGAGGCTTAGAGCCAGCTTGAGAGGAGAGGTTTGATTGTTTTGGGGAGGCTTCCGTCTGAGAGAAGCTGCTTACAAAGGTTTCTGTGGGCTTGGGAGGATGGCTAGATTCGAGAAGGTTTAAATTCAGCTTGGAAGAAGCTTCAGGAAGGATGTTGTGGCCTTAACAGTAACACCTGTGACCCCCCCCCCCCCCCAGCTACTGCAGGTTAATTGGGTCCTGGTCAACAGCTTACTGGTATGCCAACAGCTCCAGCTCTTAGCAGAGGGACAGCATATATTTAACTGTGTGGCCTTGGGCAAATCAGCTAACCTCTCTGAACTTGTTTGGCCCCAGTAAACAGCAATGATTAGATAAGCTGTCCATATGCTATTTCAGAGCAGGGAGTGTAGCCATCCTGCCCTTATAGTCTGGGACCAGAACTGTATCTGAATGAATGGGGCTGACACACCTGTTCCAAAAACTGCCCTGGGCCTTTTTCTCTTAAAAGCCAAACCCGGTTGCTGGGCAGGCTGATGACATTCAGCTGGGCATCTTGGTGCTGTTAGAGAATCTGGAGACACGAGGGCTACCCTTACACAACTAAAACCATTGTCTTGGCAGCATAGTTGTCTTGCATGAGCAGCTTTTACATTAGACTGTTGGACATTATGGTCACTGTGGCATAGGACAACCAACCATTTGTGGCCTTAGGAGCAATTTCCTTATCTTGATTTCCCCTTTGGAAACACCCTGTTGTTTTGCACTCTGAGACTGAGCAATTATGAGGGCATGGGTGAAGAACCCAAAAATAGTGACCTTTTCCCTAACTGTACAATGCTTCAGGGGATGTGTTCCAACTCTTTGGTGAGGCGTGGGGGAAAGGGGAGGCATGGTGGGTGACTCTGGAGTGTCCGGTAAAGATGGGAGGCTGGTGAAGTACACAGTTTATCCTACGTTCAAGTTCCTCAGAAGTATATATATATATATATATATATATATTTTATTCATACAGAATTGGGGTACAGGCCAGAGATGCGGAGGGTGAGAGGATTCACCAGAGACAGAGCAGGGAGCAGAACAGGCAGATTGATGAAGTACACTGCTGAGGGGAGCAGCGGGCGGGTCAGGAGAGGTCTGCCACGCCATGTGGATCTCCTCCGGGGCAGGTGGGAATCGAACTCATGCAGAAGTGACTTTAGCTTCCTAGTGCCGTACTTTAACCTGCTGCGCCACCAGGGAGGGCCCAGAAGTATATATTTTTTAAAGATTTGTTTTTATTTATGCATACGAGAACTGGGGTGTAGGCCAGAGATGCCGGGGGGTGGGTGAGAAGATTCACCAGAGGGAGAGTGGGGAGCAGAACAGATGAATCTACTGAAATACACTGCTGAGGGGAGCAGCAGATGACAGGAGAGGCCTGCTGCACTGTGTGGGTGAGCTCCCAGACTGGGGATGGAACTCAAGCTTCAGTGGTTGGCAATAGCCCACCATCAGAAATATTTTTGACGCCTTCGTTCAATCCAAAGTGTGAATTATAGACTTTTGGTTCTGGTTCAAGGTAGCACAGTAAGCCATTCCTGCTTTCACTTCAGTTTCAGGCAAGGGACCCAGCATGGTGTAAACTTAGTAAATGTTTACCTGAATGATGCATGCGGTGCCCTTCTTTAAATTAACACAGGCCTCACCTGGGAAATCTCACTTTTGGCTTCTTTCTGTCATTTTCATTGTAATTACCCTTTACTGATTTATTGAGGACTAGGTGCCTGGCGGTTATGTGCTAGCTCATTATGTAGTTTATCTTAATTGTTTGTCACATGAACTTTGAGAAGAAGCCTTACCATGTGTTATCCTCCATTTGAAAAGGAGGAAAACCAAGCCTCAGAAAAGTGAATGAACTTGCCGGGTGTCAAGACAGGTTAGGAAGTAGCCAGGCCTTGAACTCATCTCTGCTTTTCCTAAAACAAAAGTAACAATTAGTTTATGCTGCCTAATAAATAACACCAAAATGTTAAGACTAAACAGCAAACATTATTTCTCATGATTCTGTAGTTGGTTTGGGCTGGGGAATTTGGAACAGCCTCACTACAGGTTTGCTTGATTCTATCTGTGTGTGTGCAGAAGCGCTCAGACTACAGCGGTGGTAGCACTGAGACTCAACCTCAAGGCCACCAGGGAGCACCTGACTGTTGCTGAGATGACAGGGCCCCCAGTCTCCTGCAGACTGCTTGAACTTAGTCACATCGTAGCAGTTGCCTAGTTCAGGAGCAAGAGGGAAAACCCAGGCACTTTTTAACCATCAGTTTGAAATTTTTGCTCCTGTCCCATCAAGCAAAACAAGTTTCATAGCCAAATCCAAGTCAAGAGTTAAACTTCACCTTTTGATTGTGGCTCCTGCTTCACCTGCTCCAGACCCCTGTTTTAATTATGTTTTTGTGTGTGATAAGTTACTCCCAATATTAATGATGTAAAACAACAATTAACAGTTCTCTCATAGCTCTGAGTCAGAGACTTGAGACAGGCTTAGCTGTGTAGGTCTAGCTCTGTTCTCTGAATTCTTTGGAGGGCTGGACTGGGGCTGGAGGGCCTTCATCTAAGGTGGCACTCATGTGACTGTCAAGTTGGTGTGGGCTGTGGTGCATTCCAGGTTTGAACACTAGGAAGTAGAACCCAAGAGAAGTCAGCACAGTGACATCACAGCTGGACCTAAGCAGTGATCCCCGAAATGTCTTTATTCTTCAGTTGGTGACTTGGCTTGAAGATGTACTTCTTTCAGAATTTTGAAGCTACTGCTTTGCTTCTAACTTTGAGAAGTATGATGCCATTCTGGTTCCTGATTGTATCCTGCCCCCCCACCTTGGAGGCTTTTATTTATTTTATTAAAAATCTTTTTCACTTTTGTCCCTTTTTTAAGAAGTATTTTAAAAACAAAGTTTTATTGAGAAAATTTAATGGAACTGTAGCAGGTGCTGGATTCAGCAGGGTCTTCTCTTTTCCATCTTCATGCTCACCCCTGGTCTTTTCCAGACCCACATCCTAGTGCTCATCTTCCAGGATGAGCTGTGAGTTCTCCCTCTCCCTCTTCTTCAGATTCCATATCTAGATTCTTAGTTGGTGGCTTCTCTGGCTGGGAATTTTGGTTTCTGGGCAATCACAGTTCCAAACAGATTAGAGGACTCTGGCCCATCTTCCCCTTCTTCTAGATCTCAACCTTATCTGTGCAGTCATATCACACAGCTTTCCACAAGACAGCAGAGCCAGGTGGTAGAATCAGAGAGGGAATGGAAATTGAATCTATCTCCCAGTGTACACAACCTACCTCCAGGGAGCTTTTAGAAACTCCTCTTGGGCTACAGTGTTGTGACATGTGATGATGATGTGCTTCTTTTGCTTTTCATTGTGCTGGATACGTGATGGGTCCTTGTTCACTTTGGCAACTCCAGGACAGGACATGAGCACATAGGTTAGGACTCTGCATCTGCCCTAGACTCCTTACAGGGAAACAGTGAGGGCCTTGAAGAGCGGGAGGAGGGCCAAGGTCCTGCTGCTGTTTCTTCCATCATCTTCTAACGCAGATCTCCAAGAGACCAGAAATATGAATGTGCCTTCCAGGTCATTGTGAAGGTGTATTTGTCAAAGCCTCACACTTGGCTGTATTTTGTTGGTTATTTTTGTAGCTGGTTAAGTCGGCCTCCATTTGTACGCCTGCTCCCACTCACAGGTGTTCTTTATGGCCTGCAAATCAAGTGGTTAGCTGCTCTGAGCCTCAGATTTGTCATTACATGGGAGTAAGAACATCTACTCTATAGAGTTTATTGGGAGGGTAATATGTGATAATGCATGAAGTATTTGAAACAACTTTTTTTTTTTTTCAATTTATTTATTTACACATACAGAACTGGGGTACAGGCCAAAGGTGCTGGGGCGGTGAGAGGCTTCACCCAAGACAGAGTGGGGAGTCGAACAGGCAGATCGACGAAGTACACTGGTGAGGGGAGTAGCGGGCGAGTCAGGAGAGTTTTGCCGTGCCATGTGGGTCACCTCTGGCAAGTGGTTTTAGTTTATTAGTGCCGTGCTTTAACCCACTGTGCCACCAGGGAGGGCCCTGAAACAACTTCTGATCCATAGGAAAAAGTTAAATTATTGTTGTCACTAGGAGCGAGACTTTCAGCCCAGCACCCCTGCCTTTGGGTGAATGGGAAACTGTAAAATCCAGCCAAGAGCCCTGGATTTGGGAGAAACCAGCCCTTGCAAGGTACTTCAGTGCTGACTAGGGAATAATGCCTTGTGCTTCTGCTCACTCTAACTCTGAGTTTCCCTTCTCTTGCATGCCTAGGTAGTAGGGAAGTCTGAGGGTAAATGGAAATACTCGCTGACTTCTACTGAATTAGGGTAGATAGGAAAAGCTTCTAATTTTCTTCTTTCTCCCATTCCAAAGCTCATCTGCAGACATTTCTGAAGCCCAAGGACTGCTGGATTTCTAACCGTCTTCCCTTCTTCCCCCCTTCTCCCAATTAAGCTGGGAGTAGCTGTTTTTCCCTTATTTTTTAATGTTTCCTTGTGGCAAACTGAGAGTCTAGTAGTAATAATAATCACTAACAACCATATGGCACTAGTAATGTCCCAAAGACTTAATATTATTTTTAGTCTTCATAATTGCAGAGGTCCCATTATTATCCGTATTGTATAGACTGCTGAGACTGGCACAAAGAGGCTAAGTCCCTTGAACCTTCTCCAAATACTAGTACTTCCTGAGTATTTATGCTAAGCCACATTGAGATCCCAGAATTCAGGCTCCTAACTACCATCCTGCACTTTACCACAGTGATTACCTTGAACAAGTCACTTTCCTCAGAGCTTTCATTTATAACAAGTTTTTTTTTTTTTTACAGAATGTCCATTCCATGTCAATGACGTCACCTAACTATGCCCTGGCTAATGAGTCTGGAGTGCTGTGTGCCAGTCACTGCTCTCAGCAGCCTGCATCTTTTTTTTTTTTTTAAGATTTATTTGTGCATACAGAACTGGGGTACAGGCCAGAGGCTCAGGGGCGGTGAGAGGCTTCACCAGAGACAGAGTGGGGAACAGAACAGGCAGATCGGCGAAGTACACTGCTTAGGGGAGCAGCGGGCGGGTCAGGAGAGGTCTGCCACACCATGTGGTCTCCTCCGGGGCAGGCGGGAATCGAACTCATGCGGAAGCGGCTTTAGATTCTCAGTGCTGTGCTTTAACCCGCTGTGCCACCAGGGAGGGCCAGCCTGCATCTTTTAGCTCAATAAATCATTGTACAATAGCTCTCAGGTTAATGTAGTCTCAGCTGGGGTGGAAGACAGGTGGCTTGAGAGCACCTCAAGGTGTAGGATTTGAAGCTGCACAGGTGGGCTGCGGTGACCGTCTTGGAGTCTCTGGTTCTGCTGGAGATGTTCTCGTTTGTCTGCATCTAGGCACAGGATCACTTGCATGCAACTGCTGATCCCCTTGTTCAGGCACAACCAAATATCAAAACAATGGATCCCACTTGCGGGCATACATGGGGGCCAGCGCAGTGTTCTTTACTGGCCATGGAAGTAGCAACAGAGGCAGGAGCCTCCCTCAGCCTGGTCCCCGGGTGAGGGTAACAAAAAGTAAAACCCCAGACCCACAGTGGACATGTGTGAATGAGAAACAAACCTTTGTTGCTTCTAGCCGCTGAGACTGGGAGTTATTACGACAGCGTTACCTGGCCTAAGGTTCCTCAGCCTCAGCAAGATTGCCGAGTGGGCTAGATAATTCTTTGCTGTGTGGGGCTTTTCTGTGCATTGCGGGACATTTAAATTTTTGCTGAATGTATCTTACAGAGGCAGGGTCATCTCCACTTAAGAATAACTGTCCTCGCCTCTCCTGCCAGCCCTAAATTTAGGGGTGATGTCACTGTTTTAATATTCTAGTAGATTACCCCAATATTTAGGATAGTTACATCAATATTCATAAGTCAGATTTGTCTGTAATGTTTTTATTGGCATCGTCTTTACTCAGTTTTAATGTGACTCTTAGAGCAGGTGGATAGAGGTGTCTTTTCTTCTCTTTAGAATAGCTTAAGCGGCACTGGTATTACCAGAACTTTAGGTTGAAAGAATTCCCCTGAGGAGCCATCTTGGGCCTGCAACTTGTTAACAAAGGAGTTTCTACAATGTCTTTATCTGTCTTTTCACAGTAATCAGTCCATTTAGACTTGCCTTCATTATAAGGGTCAACTGGATTTTTCTGGAAAATTATCCACTTCATATAGGATTTCTGATAAGATTGCATAGAGTTGTGGCACCAGGTTTTAAAAACAGAAAACTTGTAAGTCTAGGTTTGTTCTTTTAAACATACACAGGTGGTGTGGCAACACTGGCCCAGCCTTCTAACTGCAGTCAGAGGGAGCTGTCAGCATTCCCACCAGATGCTTTCCACCACAGTCACGGCCACTTCTGAAAATCTGATGCATAGAGATTTTGAGAGGAGGCATTAACTTGTTCTATTTTGTTGTTACTGTTGGTAATCTCTCACTGCTTAATCTATAAATTACACTCTCAAGGGTGTGGACATATAGGAAAAGCACTGCCTATAGCAGGTCTCAAGCTTGGGGTGTGTGTGTGTATGGATGTATCCTTGAAAGGGGAAGTTCTCATTTTCCTTTTGTTCCCCACTCCCTACTGTCTCATTCCAAACTTGGTCTCTATCCCATGTCTAATAATACAAGTCCTGGCAGACATTCAATGAGTAAGGGACAAGGGCTAACTGACAAACTCCAGGTAAAGTCATCCCTTAGATATCACATTCCATCATTAACTTCAGTGTTTAGGTATTTCTGACATTGAGAATGAGATCTGGTAAAAAAAAAAAAAAAAAAAAAACTGGAAAAAGCAAGTCCAAGTCACACACCAAGGATGCCCCTTTAGGGGAGAAGGGGTAGTAAAATGTGTTGCTGTGAGATGTAGGGTTGGTTTAAGATTCCACACACCCCATGGGTACAGGGGCTGCCCTGGTGCCACCAGTTCAGCCAGGGTCAACCTGGCAGGGCTGCTTAGGTCCTTGCTGATCTCTCTACCTCTGCCTGTGAAATGGGGTTAATAGCTTAGGTCCCCACTAAGTGTTCCTTTTTACCAGCATTTCCCCGGAATTCCCCTTGCCCACAATTCCTGCTATGCTACAGAAAGCTGACGTCTTCTGTGGGCCAGCCCAAAGGCGAAGCTGTGCCTCCAGGTGGGAGTCAGACACGTCCATCCCAGCTCCCATCTCATATAAGCAAGACAATGTATGTGCGTTTTTTGTTTTTTATTTAGACATGGAATTTCCTTTTCATATAACTTATCTAATTAAAATATTCATCTTGGTAGTTACCACAAAAAAGTAACATAGAAAATTGTATTTACATTTTGGGACCAAAATACAAATGAAGAGCAAGATAAGACCTTGCTCCTTTCCCTCCCACTTCCCAGAAAGAGAAAGCCCCCAAAGAAGCTGCTCATTGCACCAAGGGTCACAAAGGGTTAATTTGGAACGGGTGATTTGTATGTAGTGTAGCACAGGGTAAAAAACTGCACAAGTTTTCACAAATGAGACCACGTCATCTTGTGTCTGCTCTGCAGCCATTTCAATAACCTGGGTGAGGAGGTCGCGAAGATGTTAGTTTTTCCCCTCCCTCCTCACTCTTCTTGCCAAGTCACATCCCTGATGCAGACACGCTTGGAGGAGGAGGAGGGAAAGATCTGGCTCTATGTAACCAGAGGCAATGCTTTGTGCCAGAAATGGGTAGTGATGCTGGGATGAGTAAGTATGTGTCCCATCTTCCCGCTCTGCCCAAAGACTCCTAGTAAAGGCAGTAAGATGACGCACAACTGAGTCGAAAATAGGAACTGGACTCAAGGCTGGAGATCAGACACAAAGCTAAGAGACAAGTCAAGGTGTGGGAAACCTTGGGGAAGCTATTCTAGGGAACAGATGTCTGGTAGCTGACCCAGATGTTCATTGCGTTTTAGAGTAAGAGGCTTCCTGTATCACATTTGGGAACAGGCTGGGTAACAGAGTGGAAGGGCAATACAGATGATCAAAGGAAACAATGCTTTACCCAGTTAAGAAATACAGCAAATTAAAACACAGCGATACCATGTATCAATATCATGTATCCAGCTGCCACAGGTGCTCTCACTGCAGTGTGTGCCCAACAGTGCTTTTGTTGCACAGGTTTTCTGCATTGCTCTGGCTTCTGCAAAGCTGGCCTGGGGTGTGCAGGATAGTTAAAAACAGGGGGCTCCACAGCCAGGGCCGTGAGCCAAGGGTGAGCAAGTGTGAGCAGGAGCGGACTGCCTGGCCCCTCAGGTTATCACTGTAGCCATGCCCTCCGTTGCTGCTCAGGTTTGCGAAAGACCGGCACCTCAGAGTCAAAGCATCTGCTTCCATCTGTGTGACAACCAGTGTGCTCCTACTGGATCAGAGTTCAACAGCCAAGACAGGCCCTACCACTGTCCTCCTAATTCTGATCTCACCAATAGCAAGTGGAAAGTGAGAGCCTTCCTCCCCTAACTGGATGGATGTCCCCAAGGGACTCCCTCATCCTGATAATCCTGCCTTCTTCCCTAAGTTGGCCCTTTCTTCCAAATCCTGGCTTCAGCACCCAGAAGGTAGAGAGAGCATCACCTGCACAGTTCTCTGCAAAACAGAGCAAACTTGTGCTCTTGCAATCACATGATCTTACCTTTTAAAGAAAAAAGGAAAACAATTTCCAACATAGCATTGTGACTTTAAAAACCATTCTCTTGTAGTAACAATTCATAGGCAACAAGAGATTAAAGTGCTGGCATTTAAAACTCTAAAGTTGTGTTCAGGAGCTACAAAAAGCCCTGCCGTGTGCCTGTGCTTTACCCCCATGCTAGTGAGAAGGGAAAGCAGGGGAGCGAAAAGACCTAAAGTTCTGAATCAGAAACTGGTAAAATGCTGGGGGTTCTGTGCAAATTGATCTCCCAAATTCTGTGACCTCCATTGAGCCTCAAAAAAAAAAAAAAAAGGGAACTGGCTAAAATGTTAGAGGAAAGACTAGACCTTTACAGATAACCTCCCTTAATAAATACTATTTAGTGAGTGAGAGAGATGCACCTGCATAGGACTCAAAGCAACACTGAGCAGGGGCAGGATGTGCGGGTCTGTCCATGTTGAGTTCCCTTCAATGGGCAGCCCAGCACCCACTCCTGGGCCCATGAGCAACAGGCACCACTCAGGCTCTGTCAGGACTGCCCAGTCCTGGACTGTTGGCTCAGGAGAGCTGAACTGGGCAGGGGAATGGCTTTCACTAGGCTTTCAACTAACTTTAATAAAGGGCCCTGAAAATAAAGGGCCAAGCATGTGGTAGAGGACCAAAAAAGGAAACCACCCCCAAACAAAACAAAATAACCTGGGGATAATATAAATACAATCTGGGGGCAATATTTATTCATTAAAACTATGTCTGGTAGTTTACAAAGAAGCTAATTAACAACAAAAGTATAATTGACCTTAAAATCCTCAGTGAGACTGAGGCTTCACATCTTCCTCGGCGCTCTGAAGCATTCTCCAGGCAGGAGGCAGTGGCTGCGCACAGGCCCACAGAGGAGCCCCAGCAAACTGTGCAGAATTCAGAGACCAAGGACTCTGGTCTCCTTTGGAAGTCCGTTCTCCAATCCCATTGTCCTTATATTCCTCCCCCCAAATTTCATCTCCAAGGCAAGTCCTCCGTTTATCTTCGGGAGAATCTGTTCTTGAAAGCTTTAATTGTCTTGGCCATCATTGGGGCGATTTCTGTGAAAAGGAAGTACAGCAGTGGACTCAGATCCATAGCGGTTCAGACATACACCGCCAGTGGTTAGGTCCAGGCCACGCCTAGGTCCTCCCAGCTCTGCGTCACGAGTGGCCTCTAGTGCCACAATCAAAGCATCAGCACCTACTGGCCCAGGGCAGTTGTGATCTCTAATTGTAACCACCTTCCCAACACTCAGACTGGACCCTTGTCCTCGGCTGCACAGTAAGTGGCAGGACTAAAATTCAATCCTTCTCAGATTCTAAAGGCCACAGTGATGAATCACTGAGGTAGTTACATTACCTCACCACTATCCAAAACAGCCAAAAAAAAAAAACAAAACAAAACCAAAGCCCCTATACCCTGCTGTTCAGTGTAGCAAGGGGCTAAGAGAGGCTCAGTGCAAGCAGCACTGAAGGACACTGGCTGCCCCCGGGACTGAGCAGCCTGAGCACAACCAAAGCTTGAGCCAGGTAGGTGACCTCACTCTCCAAGGAGCCCTAAATGAGTACAGAATGATGAAGTTAGGACACTCCTTAGAATATGTGTGTAAATGGTAATAAAGTTAAAAACATAAATACACTCAACTAGATTCAAAAAGTACTTGGACCTCATTTCATAAATCCCCATTAAGATAATCGCTTGGCTATTAATTGTAATTATGAAACCCATGAGTTGCCTGCAAAAACAAGTTTACATTTAGGTTTTAAAAAAGTGTGAGTAAGTAGGGGAAGGAGGCACCAGCATCCTAACCAGCCCTGAGGAAGGCTTCAGCGTGCTACATCCTGTGCACGCAACAGGCAGTGGTGATGGTATCAGTGGGGTTCAAATATTAGTTTTGGAATATCTGAGCAGGAACCCTGAGTCACTTACTCTTCACAGTTGGTTTCCTGGGATCATAGGACACAGTGCTGCTGACCATGGGTGCCAAATGGGCGCTGCTGGTGCTTGGGCCGTCGTAGGCGGGCTCCTCTGGGCTGGAGTTAAAGCTGTTGCTGCAACCACTATTGGCGGAAGTGTGGCCACTTCCAGAATGGAAGGGAGCTGGCTTAATCCTGTAACAGAGTGAAGCTGGGGTTAGTCATGGCCTACCTGGGGAAGACATGGTTTTGTGACTTTAACCATTGACCGCAGCTCCTGGAATCTGGTGGTGGCTCAGAGGTGACAGCATGAACCTTCCAGCATGAAAGATAATCTCACCCAATCTTTCACTGTGTGGGGATAATTCCGAAAATGCCAACATGACTTCATTATATAATTTCATCATCACCACAGTATTGCATTTTAGTTTAAATGGGGAGAGAAGAATCATAGGGATAGTTTCCAGGAACCAGGTGCTGTTTCCCACTTATTCTTGATCTGAGGCAGGTGTACTGCAATACTCAGCCCTATTGCAGTTAAGGAAGCTGAGGCTCATGGAGTCACTTCCTGTGCCTGGGCTGCCCCTTTGCATTGATGACAAGCTCTTAGGTGCTCTTCCCTGAGCATGGGGAACCATGGTGGAGCAGAACTCTTACTTGATTCTGTCAGGCACAGCTGCTCCTCCTGTTCCAAACTTCTCCTGCCTCCTTCGAACATCACGAGGTGGCTTGGCCACAGAGTTGACAAAAGCCATCTTTGCTTGTCGGCCTATGGAAAATATGGAGATTAACACCTGCCTTCCTGAGCAGTGATGCTAGTTATTTTAATAACACACTCTGTTAAGAAATAAAGGCTTTTTAAGTACACCTGAAACTAGGGGTTTATCAACCTTGAGAAACCCATTGAAGGGCAGCACAGGCGGCAGCAGGAGAAACAACCCCCCATGCTGAGGGTGGACAAACAAGCTAGCATAACAATCATTCAGGAGCAGGAGGTCCCGCCCAGGCGAGCCCACCAAGGCCTCACTACCTTGCCAGGCTCCACCCTGCTGGTAGTCCCTGCACCCCATCACCTTTGGGCTTGTTGGCATGCGCAGACTGGATGTTCTTCGTCAGTAATCTCAGCCGCTGCTCCCGGGCGTCTTGGAGCCGCAGGTACATCTCCCGCCAAGACTCATACTCTTCAGGTCTTTCTTCCTTAAAGTCTCGGTGACAGTGAACTTTCCATAATTGATCTGTTTCTTCGATTAATACCTAGGAGTGTCATGTATACAGGACATCACTTGTACACAAACTCTCTTACTCATCTTTTTCCATTTTTAATTACCTAAGGATGACAGTTTCCTATTAATGTTTGGTTCTATTAATATTATATTAAAATACCACAGTTCTAGGAGTAAGTAAAATCATTTTATTAAAAAACAAATGCAAGACTCTTGTACTAGCTACTTTCAGGGGCTAAGAGAGAAGACAACACCAAAACTAGGTTAACATCAGTTTTTTTCTTCTAGAAAATCAGCAAAAAAATAGAACTGGGATGAAGTCAAATGCAGGTATTTTCCCAGCACTGCATGAATCGTAATAGCAAGAGGCCCCTATAAAAGATGTGACCTTAAGGATTCCCTGGCATTAGAGATAGCCAATATGAGCAAATGAGTATGCCCCAACACAATGGGAAAGGTTTTTTGAAACAACTGTGCTCTTTTCATTAGACACTTGAGTATCAACACCAGGCTTGGATGCTTTTTACTCCCTTTAATCTCACCTTGATCCTAGCCCAAGAGACCCACTTAAGATGGCAGATGCAAGAGATATGCATATTTCTAGGCCCACAGGCAAACCAAATATGCCCAGGATAGTGATTCGACTTCCAGCCTGCCCTTCAGCCATGGCAGTTCACAGAGACAAAGCAACTTCTGAAACTACAGGCCAGAAAACTGTTCTCTTTCTACTCCATGGGATACTCACGTGATTGTATTCTTCTATGCGATATAGCTGTTCAGGGGTACACCTCTCCAAAACGGGTTCAAGGACAGAATACGGGACACCTCCCACTTCAAAGATTGCTGCAGAGAACCAAAGGTGAAAGTGCTGAGTGGCAGCCAAGCTGCTGAGCAGTCAGGGCCCAGTGCGACAGTGGGCTTGAGGGCGAAAGACAGGCGTGGGACTTACAGTCAATATTATTTTTAAGGACCCGGATGCACTGCTGATGCAAAGTCATCATTTTGGGGAGATAGGCACACTTGGAACCAGAATACACCTGCATCTTAGAATTCATTCTTCGTCCAGTGAATCCAGCTTCTTCCTCTTCGAGGGGTGAAGAGAGTGCTATAGGACAAAAACAGGAATGTAAATTAAATAACTAAAGGTACTAAGTTAGTGAAAGCTCTCCTTTCCACCCTGTTCCTCAGCCTCCCAGTTCCCTTCCTCACAGGCATCCAATGCTTCTAATTCCTTGTATATTCTTCCAGATTGTCTATGAAAAAATATTTTATCCCTTTAGCCAATGAATAACATGTTATCAACTGTTTCACCTTTCACATCTTCAAAATCATCCCGCCAGCACCTAGACTTTCCACGCATTTTACAGGATGCCACCATGTGGGAGAGCCGGGATTTAACTCCTAGTCTCTTGCTAACAGATGCTTATATGGTACGTAATTCTTTTGCTATTAAAAGCAGACTTTTTAAAAAGTTCACACAGAATACATAAAGAATCACTAAAACAGCAGGAGCTAAAATTTACGGAACACTTACTATATGGGAAAACCAAGCACTAAGAGCTTCACCAGCATTTATCACTTTTAATCTACTTAACAACCCTATGCTGTAGATATCCCACGTGCAGATTATGAAACTGAAATCCAAGGAAATTAAGTTGCTCCCCAAGCTCAATAACTGGTACAAGCTAGAGCTGGATTCAAACTCAGGCCATCTACTCCAGCCTGCACACTTAGGAAATGCCTCAAATCTGTTGCCAGATCATGAATACATTTTTTAAAAAAACCTTTTCCACTTAAGAAAAGCTACAGAAAATTACCTTTTCGCTTTGGTTGTAAGGAGATCAGTTCAAGGGAAGGGAGCGGACGGTAATTGGTCTGTATTACGGGGAGTGGGAGGTCTGGCAACACTGGCAATAGATCGGTGGGGACCTGCAGAGAAGAGACCAGTGACTGGGGAGCCCCTCTCCACAAGCACAGCTAGCTCTTTTTGTCGACCCTCAGCGGTGTTGACTAGGCAGGTGACTTGCAGGCAGGGCAGCTGGAGGAAGGGTGACAGCCATGTCTGACACCACCCACCCACATCAAGAAATACCTATAGATGGGGCCCAGCACAACACAGCGCCTGAGGAAAGACTACCTTGGGTACTACCTGCCCTGGAAACTGGGGAGGCTCAGGGGAAATGACCTCAAACTGAAGTTCAACATGGCAAGTCAAGGGGCCTCCCTGGTGGTACTAGGGGTTAAGTCACAGCACAATGAAGTAAGCTCCAGCCACTGCAGCACGAGTTCGATCCCTGGCCAGGGAGCTGACCCACATGGCACAGCAGACCTCTCCTATCTCACCCACTGTTCCCCTCAGCAGTGTCTTTCAGTAGATCTGCCTGTTCTGCTCCCCACTCTGTGGTGAATCCTCTCACCACCACCCCCAACCTCTGGCCTATATTTATGCTCTTGTGTGCAAAAGTAAATCTTTAAAAAAAAAATTTTTTTAAAATGCAAGGCAAACAAAACATCAGTCATGTGGATGCTGGGAGTTCTACAGGTGGCCCGAATGGGAAGCCATCCAGGGGGCTGAATGGTTACCTTTTTCAGCTTGGCTGAGTTGGCTCCAGAAGTCTGCAGCTTCTCTGACTTGTTTTCATTCACCTTAGGTAATTTCTGAACCAAGTCCAAATTTTTACTAGTGCTTTTAGAATCATTCTTTTTAAGTCCTTTTTCTCCAAGAGCTGTGGTGGAAGTTTTTACAATCTTTTTCTTTTTCTTCCGGGGCTGATCGTAGCTGAGGTATGACTCAAAAGACATGGTGGGTTGCTCAAATTCATCGTCCATGTCCGCATCCTCACCTTTTGGAAAGGAGCCCACTGACTTCCGATCCAAATGAGAAGTTTTCACTTTCCCTTCTTGATTCTTTAAGTTGTTAGAAACCTTCTCTTTTACCTTGGGCAACAAGTCTCCTGCCCCCTTTCCTATGTCTAAGCTGTTTATATTTTGCTTATTTTTGTCTGACTTGGTTTTCTCTGAGTCTCTGTGCTTTGGCTTTTTAAGGTGGTTGTCGGAAGTAACCTCCAAAGGGGGTAACAACTTCTTCTTGGCACTGGCCTCTTTTTCCTTCTCCTTCTTGACACCACTAGCTTTCTCCTTTGTTCCATCCCCAGAGAGCAGCCTTTGGTTTTCCTCTCTGCAGATGGCCTTCTGTGACTTCTCCCTGCTCAAAGAGGACTTCTGACCCACCTTGGTGTCTCCCGAGTGCTTGTCCTTATGGGAAGATTTGTGCTCCTTGCTCTGACTCACAGCCCCTTTCCCCTGGGACTCACCCAGGTGTCGCTCCTGACCAACCCCCAGTCTGTCCTGAAGGGCATTGGTGTGGCCCCTTCCAACCTTCTGGTGTGGAACGGAGGGCTCAGGGTCCTCATCCGGGGATCTGTAGTGGTCCACGGACATCTGACGAGGACTGGCACATGATGGAGGGGACTGAACATGGCCATAATCAGAAGACTCATGGTCTGAAGAGTAAACTGGTGAATTTCTGTGGCACCTCTTTTTCTCATCTCTCCTCTCATGGCCGTGAGACACTTTGTGAGTTCTCTCAAGCTCTGAGAGTTTCCTATTTTTTTTCTGTCTGTGATCAGGGCTGTATGATCGGCTACTGGAAGCCTTCCAGTTTTCCTGATAGTCCCCTTCTAGATCCTCCTCCTTCTGAATAGCATCCCTGGGACGCTTTCGGGAATTGCTTTTCTCAAAGTCCTGTTCATCAGGCTCAGTGTTTCTAAAATAGAAGAAAAATCAGATAGAAATCTCAGTGTAATCCTTGATCAGAGGGATAAAGAACATACAGAGCTACAGCCTAGGAAAGTAAATGGGTTCTGCTCCGCAGATTCTCAATGATACTGGAAAACTCAAATATTCAACAAGTGGAAAAGGATGTATTTAACCATAGCATCATAACCTAACAAAGATTAGAATCTTTGTGGATATGGGGGCTTCCCTAGTGACCTAGGAGTTAAGTCTCAATGTTATCACCATGATGACCCACCGTGACAGTCTGAGCTCTATTCCCAGCCAGGGATCTGACCTACATCGTACAGCAGACCTCTCCTATCTCACCTGCTGTTCCCCTCAGCAGTGTATTTCAGTGGATCCACCTGTTCTGCTTCCCATTCTTTTTCTGGTGAATCCTCTCACCCCCACCCCTCCTCACACCTGTAGCCTACACCCCAGTTCCTCTATGCAAAAATAAAATAAAATAAAATTTTTTAAATCACGGATAGGAAGTAGCTTGACTTTTTTTTTTTTTTTTAAAGATTTTATTTCTGCAGTTAAGAACTGGGATGTTGGTCAGAGGTGCTGGAGTTGAGAGGATTCACCAGTGACACAGTGATGGGAGCAGAACAGGCAAACTGACTGAAATACACTGCTGAAGGGAGCAGCAGAGGAGACAGGAGAGGTCTGCTGTGCCATGTGGGTCAGCTCCCTGAGTGGGGATTGAATTCATGCTTCTGATAGCTTCACAATGCTGAGAAATAACCCTTTGTATAACCAGAGAGGCCCTACTTAAAATTTTTTTCAACCTAGGAACATATTGGACTCATTGTTACTGTTACTGAACTGTTGTTACATAAAAGGGGGCTGCTGGTTGTATAATTTGTTCACAACTATATAAAAATGCCTTCTAAGAACAGTTAGAAATATATCAAGATGTTAATCATGCTTATCTTTGGATTGTAGCATTATAAGGGATTTTGATTTTAACATGCATTACATGGATAAAGTGATTTTAAAAAAGGAAAACAGATTTTGACTTTTAAAAATATTTTTCAATACTCTATAATTGTGGTTTATTTCTATAGTTGAAGTAAAATGAATAGTTTACATTTAAAAGGCAGAGAGGTAATAATAAAAGCTGTTCTGTCTATAAATCCTCCAACCATTTAGTTGAACAAATCTACAAGTCATGTCCTTACCGTTCCACAGGAACCAACTTCTTCCACTGGGCCACTAGGTCCCTGGCAAAGCTTCCAACATGCTCGTGTTTTCGAAAGCTATTTACTGTTTTCCCAACCCCTGTCTCCTACAAGTTGAATAAAGGAATTGTTAAGAGGGTTGTGGAACCAGGTTCATAAATATCTTAGGAAATAAAAGGCTTTTGCTCTGAGAAAATCAACAAAGTAACACTTCCTTACAGAAGTATACCCTGTAAGTCTTAATACAAAATTACTCTGTGTCTATGCACCAAACCTCTAATGACAGTTTAGCAAAGCACATCAGATTCAGAAAAAGAAATTAAAACACTTCTAGAACTTTAACAGTAATAACAACAATGATTATAGCAGGTGTCAGGCACAGAGGAACAGCTTCTGGTATCTGATTCAATCTTTACAATGAGGCAGGAATCAGCCCCATTTTACAAAGGAGGACTAAAACTTGGATATGAATCCAGGACTCACTGATGCTCTTTTAATTCTTTATGAAAATTTTTGAAATAAAACGTACACAGTTCCTCATTTTAAAAGACTTAGTTCCGTAATCTCCAGAACACAGCTATCACCACTATCTAATTCCAGAACATTTCCATCATCCTAAAAAGAAAACCTTCTTTTTCCCAATTTCCCCTCCTTCCTGGCAGCTACTAATCTGCTTTCTGTTTATGGACTTAGGTGTCCTGGACATATCATAAAAACAAAATCATACAATGATTGTTTTCACTTTAATTTTTCACTCTTCATCTTACACTACAGTCTCTCCCAGCGGGAAGAGGGTGGGATACAGTTCTATCTAAAGTTACACAGTTCTTACCGCAAGAATGTCTACTGTGATAGGCAAGGTAGAAAGTTTCTTCAAATATTTCAATAGCTGCAGAGAGAATGAAATAAACATTAATTTCTATAAAATCATATTCATTAGAAGAGATAAGAGTAGTATCTGGCAGTTAAGTGCTGACTCAGTGCTAACCAGGTATGATTTTACCTATTTTATAAGTATAAAAACAGGCTCAGAAGTTATTTGCTTCTGGTTGCAAACAGGGCAGGAGTCACTAAGGTCTGGGGCTTTAGATTCTTGGCTTTCAAACACTCACAAGAGGTAGTAGACTTAGAGAAGAAAGCCAAGCCCACCAATGCTAACAATAGTCATCAACAACTATCATTTCACCCACATTTTGAGAGAAAATTTCTGAAAGAGGTACCAATTTTTGGAAAATTACCTATGGGCCCAGCACAATGAAAAGTAAAAAGAAATCTCCACCAGAAAAGAGGATCGTGTTTCCAGGAAAAGTGACAATGTTTAACAGAACTGTTTTCCACTACTTTGGATACAAGTGAAAAGTTACCAGAATGAGAGCCTTGCTGTTAGTGGTAACACAAAATCAAAATGTCTGGGTAGATTAGAAAAGTGATCTGGGCTTGGCCACATTTCCTTTCTGTAGTTCCTAAAAGTAGGTCAAAAACATGATAGCAGAGCTGCTAAAAGAGTCTTGGAGTCACAGACAGGCATCAGAGCGCAGCCACCTTGTCTGGTGATCTTGTACAAGTTGGTAACCTCCCTGAACCTCTGTTACTTCTCTAGTAAAATGGGAACTGGATCCGGTTGTCACTTCACAAGTTGTGGCAATTCACCCTTGACCCTCAACGAGACAGTCCCCAGCCAGTTCCTACTTGGCTACACTTCTACCAAAAGTCCTGACTAGCTATGTCTTTCTTCAGGAAACATTTACTTGCATATTACTACCCAAGGAGTCCTGCAAAGTACAAATAGTTCAAAACAGATAACCTCACTAGGTTTGCATTTAAATATTAGATAACAAGATGCATTCTTTTTCCATGTGCAGGCTGGCTATAATTAGTATGCCATATTGCTATTAGGTGGAGTAGCAAGAATGTTTTTCTGGTCATTCTACTTCGGTAATTACTGAACATGGTCACTATGTAGAGCAATTGATGCAGAAGTGATAGTCTTGTCTGCCTGGAACAAGTGAGAAACCAAATGGCATAGCTAGGGAATTTCACTTTTTTTGGTTAAGACTTTTATTTATGCACACTAGAACTGGGGTGCAGGCATAGGTAAGGGGAGGGGGGCCTAAAGGATCCACCAGAGAGAGAGTGGGCTGCCTACTGAAATACACTGCTAAGGGGAGCAGCAGGTGAGACAGGAGAAGTCTGCTGCACCAAGTGGGTCACCTCCCTGGCCAGAATCGAACTCATGCTACTGCTTGATATCATCCAGACTAACCCCTAAGGAGTTTCACTTTTACAGATGAGTGAAACTTACCCTCCACTTCCAATTTGATCATCACCAACATCCAACTCAGAAGAAAGTTTATGTGTGTTTCTTTTCACCTGAGCAATGGTGTGAAGACTAAGGCCAATTCCTTTTATTAAAGAAAGTCACTGAAAAGGCTAAGTACAGAAGTTCTGCCCTAAAGCCATTCCACGAGAAGTATTTATTTATATGCTATCCACTATGCTAACTCCTTAAATGTGTTACCTCAGTTCATCCTCATTAGCCATCTTCATAAAGTGGAGATTATTCTCATTCACAGATACTGAAACAGCCCCAGCAAGGTTGGTGACTTGCCTACCAAGCTAGTAAGTCAAGTTTGTCTACCGCAACACATACTCTAGGGTCAAGAGGAGCAGCCAGCATCATAATTTTGTCCTTAGAGAACACAGCAATAGCTACAAGCCTGTGAGCACACCTGAACCGAAGCACAACAGGTGCTATTCGGTGTGATGCTGTCAGACAGTGTAGAGTCCAGTGTTGGTGTCATCAAGGGCACAGAGACCAGGGACCTCTACAAAGCCAACATGTGTGGTTGGGGCCAGAAGTCACGGAGGGTGTGTTCAGTTCAAAGCCTGGTGCTAACTGCAAGTGTAAATGTTGCCTTTGTGCTTTGCTTTGTGAGTAGGGGTGACTTAAAAGCAGAAAAATTTAGACCCCTCAAGATTTCTAAACTGATTTAGACCCACATAAGAGAAAAAGGATTGCACAGCCCTGTTTTCAATGAGGTTCAAGAAAGAACAAAGCACTAACAAGGTAAAAGCACTTTGGCATCCTCAAGTAAGTGGAAACTTGCTGTTATAAAACCAAGGGACCAATCGTAGAAGTGGCAAAAATTGGTAACAGGTCACTGAAAAAATGTCAAAATTTCCATAGTACAAGCTCAGGTATCTGAACTGTCCTTTGCAAATTCCTTCTACCCAAAGGGCAAAAGTGAGGGTTCCAATGGAGCCCTCCATCATCAGACTGTGTTCATGATAAAGTTTTTGCATTCAAAATATGACACAGGACAGGTAGCTTTACTAGCCATGAAAATTATTTCCAGGTAAATAGCTAGAATAAGAGCCAAGAGACTACTACCATGTCCCTGATACCTTCTCTCAAATAAGCCTAGATGGTAGATAACTTAAAGCAAAAATGGAATTATATTCAAACGCCAATGTTTAACACCAGAAATCCATGAACACAAGTGTAAAATCAACTCTTTGGCTAATAATGGTTTGAATTAAGATTTAGTTGCAAATTCATTCTGCCACATAATCACCTTGAATTTCAAGAACAACCTGTGGGAGCTTGTTGGGTTAACAGAAGGTTGAGAAGAAGGCTAGTGTGCCAGCTTGCAGTTTTCCCTCTGCTGTTAGCTCATTTCTGAATGCTGACTATTGTGCCCTTTGCAAAATGGTCTCCCAACATTTTCACATCTTAATAATGCTATTTCATGGTGCAAAGCCAGAAATGCAGGATGGTTTTTTATCTGGGGATAGAAAACCCAAATGCTGACAACAAATACAGTTCAACCAGGATGAGAAACTAAACAAACCTCTAATTTGATATTTCATGCACATCAAGCACTAGAAATGCTACCTCAGAATTAAAACTTAAATCATATGAAGCATTTTTAATCAGATAGAAATAAAAGTAAATCAAAATCAGACTGCTTTAAGCTTTTAAAATCAGTAACAAACCAGTGTTTAGGAAAAAAAAAACAAACTAGTACTCAAACAATGACCATAAATTAGATGCCCACAAAGGATTATTGTAAAAAGAAATCTGTAAATATACTTCATCACTAGGTGCTGAAGTTAAAATATGAAAATATATAGCACAAAGCAACTGAAAGCATTTAAGTTTTCACAGATTTAATACTAAAATGGCCTCCTGAAGAAGTGGCTCTTTGATCTGGGTATGAATGAGAAGAGTTGAAAAGTGGCCTGATGATAATAAGCTGTATGCAACCGGAAGAAATGGAGAAGGAAACCTCACCTAAGTCAGACTGGGAAAAGGTGAAGAGAAAGAGTGGTGATGAATATCTACTATGCACTTTCTTTGAGCCGGTGCTTTAACCTTTTACTTTAGTCTTAGGAAGAAGCAGGTGAGGAAACAGGTTCGGCAGAGTTTGCCCCAACATCCATAGCTGGTAAATGGATTGTAACCCAGGTCTCCGCTATCACTTACTCTGGACTGCCTTCCTGGATTACTTCCTCTTAGAACAGCGCTCTGGGGCTCAGAGCCCCAGCTCTCGGGACTATACACGCTACCCAGAACGCTGACAGAAAATGCCAAACCCCCTAAGTGTATCCATCATTGTTATTTCAAGACAACAGGATCCACCAGACACTCTGCCTGACACCGAGAAGCTGGATACCAAGCCAGGAAGAAGAAAGCATTTACCTTAACAGTAAAAAAAAAACAAAACTAGCCGAGTACAATTAAAAATGGTTGCCCGTTTATCGCATTTACAAGAAATGAGAGTTCTTACCTTTCAATGGAGGCCAAGAGAAAATCTAGAGGCAACTTTCTAACCCTTTCTCTTTTTGTCCAACTACAACCTAAGGTTTTTGGCATACACACACAGCCCGATGACGTGAGGTTTATTTTGGTTTGTTTTGAAAAAGATTTACAGAGAAAGCGAAAGGGCCACGTTCTAACATCAAGCCGGAAAGCAATAAAAACGTCTCTCGGGAGACGCAGGACCACACACCTAGCCCAGATTCTATCGTGCTCAAGCAAAGTCATCTCCAGCTCCAAACAATATTAAAAGGCGTAAGGGAGAAGAAACACCGCCGGAGAGGAACCGAGCAGGCAAGAGTCCACTCCGAAGTCTCCCGACAGCAAACAGCTGGCCCGGGACGCCGAGGGCGCGGCTCCCGGAGCCCCGTCGGCACGCGGTGTCCGCACCGGAGCGCGCCCCTGCCCGTCGGGAGCCCACGGGCGCTCCGGTCCCGGTCCCGGTCCCGGCCTCGGAGGGCGGGAGGGAGGATCCGACCCGCCGAGGTCCGACGTGCGGGGTCCCACCGCGTGGGAAGCGGCCAGTGACTGCGAACTTCCCAGCGCCCCGGTTCCGAGCGCGGCGGGGCCTGGCTCCGGGTCCGAGCCCCCACGGCTCCGGCCGGTCCGGAATGGGCCGCGCCCGGGTCCGCGACCGTTACGGGGTCGCGCCGCGCCCAACGCCCGCTCTGCCCGCTCGCTCACCTTCTTAGGGTCTGGGTTCGCGGCCAGGCGCGCCTGCAGCTTCTCCACAACTTGGAGCGCCGACTCCGCCGCCATCGCTGTCACTGGCGCGGCCTCCTCGCCGGAACTGGGCTCGCGTCGCGTCCTCGGGCCGCAGCTCCGCCCTCCGTGCATCCCCGGCGGAGACGGAAGCGCGACTGGCCCCTTCCGGGCCTCGGCGCGGGTGGGGGGAGTGGGGACCCGCCGGCTGCAGGCCCCGCCCCCGGGCCTGGGGCCGGGTCCTCGGTGCCGGCTCCGTGGCCGCGCGCGCTTGGGGCTGGGGCGCCTGCCGCGGCCCAGCTCTCCTGCGTCTGGACTCGGCGTACGAAGCCGATGCTGGGAGGACCTCTCTGATGTGCGGTCCTAGGCGGGATGAGGCCACAGCGCCGGACCCGGCGGTGCGAATCCTAATCTCCCCCTCCTGCGCCCAGGCGGGGAGGTAGGAGCCACGCCCTAATTAACCCCGGGAATGGTCCCGCTGCAGGTAAAGAGCAGGGTTAACGTTGTTGACCACCCTAAATCGAGTGCACGAAGCTGAAGCTGGGCTTGCTTACTTTCACCTTCAGTACAACCCGATGAAAGCGAGTGTGTCACTCCCATTTTATAGCTCCGGAAACCCAAGCTAGACCAAATTAACTTGTATGTTGACCCTTGACAGCAGAAAGGAGAAATTGGTATTTGAACCTAAATAGTCTGGGTCCTCTGCAAGCGTAGAGTATCTAAACAGGTTGAAGAATGGAAGCCCTAAGAGAAAGGATTTATCAAAGTGAGACAGCTAAGCTACATGAGGTAATAATCCATGTGTCTTACTTTCGCCCCAGTATCTGGTAGGTGGGTACCAGATAGATACATATTTCTTAAATGAATGGATATATGGACAAATGACTCCTTGGAAGCAGTAAGTCCTGAATCACCAGCTTGAGACACCGTCCTGGAAGGCATGTATCCTCATCCTTAAAGCACTACTATTATAGCCACTAAGAACAACTAAATAGTTGAAAATTGACTTAAAATAACAGCACTGCTTATATATCATTTGATTTGATTAGATGAGATCCGAATCATATCGCCAGCAGCAATTTGCCAATATTGTTAGCCTGACCTCTCAACCAATGAAGTCTAGAAGGGAAGTGCAGAACATATACATAAGTAACTTGCAGGTCTCAGCACTGAAAATAAAGAGGAAAGAGGGGAGGGGAAAAGAGGGATGAAGAGAGAAGATATATAAGTTGTTTCTTCAAATGAGCATTCATACACTCAAGAGGATCCCTTCCTTTGGAGTTCCCTTCGTTCACTTGGGGCTCCTCCCTCAGCAACTGACCCTTCCCCCTTTTATGTGTCTGTGTAATGTCAATTTAGTCTTCTGTCTTGCCTTTGTGTGGTATATTTGTGAAGTGTAGTGACCCACCTACCCAACTCTAAATCTGCTGCCCAGCCTAACTCAGTCCATACAAGATTGATGACCACCCACTTGGTACCCTATTAACTCAAATAAGGAGTGTAATGGAAAAGGCATCAAGTTGGGTGTGAAGAGACTTGGATTCCTGCCCCAAAGCTAGAGTCTCTCTCCTCTGCACAGCAAATGTTTCGCACTTTAAATTCCTTTCATTTAAAATGTAGTGTTGGTGTAATGGAAAAGGAGCTGATTCTTGAAGAACTGTTGGCTGACCTAGCCAATACTATGAACACATGGGGCATTTTGAGCATATTACCCAGGAAAACCTAGACAGCCAGAATGAAGAGAAACAATGCATGCTGCATTGTTGGAGAGGGTATCCACCATGCCCATCTATGTCACCCTAAGTCAGGGTAATCTACAAAACAAAGAACTACTACACTTGAATATTTAAATACATTTCTGATCAGTTAATTATGTATGTGTTGTTCTCTGATTTAAAAGAAAGGTGTTTTTTTTAATTTATGCATACCAGAATTGGGGTACAGGCAGAGGGGAAGAGGGTGAGAGGACTTACCAGAGACAGAGTGGGGAGCAGAATAGACAGATTAACTGAAATACACTGCTGAGGGGAGCAGTGGGTGAGACAGGAGAGGTCTGCTGTGCCATGTGGGTCAGCTCCCTGGTGGGGGATTGAACTCCTGCTGCAGAGGTTTCAGATAGCTTCATAATGTTGCGCTTTAACCCATTGTGCCAGCAGGGAGGCCCTAAAAAGAAAGTTTTTAACCGCTGCTAAAAATGGTATATGTTCTGTATATGGCACTGTTCTGTATCTGCTCATTTTGTAATCTTTGCTGCATACAACATTACATGTGATTGCTTAACCCCAGAATAAATTCCCAAGGTCAGAGGTTGTTGATTACATCCTGGATTAGAAACACCTAGCATGCAAGTGACATTCCAAGCAGGTTTGTTGAAAACTGAACCAGTTAATACTTTTATTTGTTAGATTTATTTATTCATACAGAACTGTAGTACAGGTCAGAGGTGCGGGGGTGAGAGAATTCACCAGAGACAGAGTGGGGAGCAGAACAGGCAGATCAACGAAGTACACTGCTGAGGGGAGCAGAGAGGAGGCAGGTCAGGAGAGGTCTGCTGCACCACCCGGGTCAGCTTCTGGGGTGGGGATTGAACCCACAGTGAAGGGGCTGCACTTTTAACACGCTGTGCCACCAGGGAGGGCCCTCAGCTAATACCTTTTAAATGAAATAACATGGGTTTACAACACTGAAATAACATGGGTATACACCTCTTCAGAGGTATGACCACTCCACACCCATTACCATGTACCCACAGTCCTCCACCATAGTTCAGCTGGGTCCCTTTCCACTTGGCTCTCCATCTTCCTGCTAGTCCAGAGTATCATCCCAAAACCTGTGAGGGAGCTCTCTTACTAGAACTTCAGGGTGCCCTGTGAGAATATTTTAAAAACACTAACCAGGGCTCCCTGGTGGCTGAGAGGCTAAGTCTCAGCAATATCACTGATCTCACCCCTGATCTCACCAAGACAGCCTGAGTTCCATCCCCAGCCACGGAGCTGACTCACACAGCACAGCAGACCTCTCCTTTCTCCGCCACTGCTCCCCTCAGCAATGTAGTTCAGTACATTTGAGTCTGCTCCCCACTCTGTCTCTGGTGAATCCTCTCACTCCCTGCAACTCTGGCCTACATTCCAGCTCTTATATGCATAAATAAATAAAATAAAAATCTTTTAAAAAGATTTTTACTATCTTTTACTTACTCTGCTCAGCAGGCACGTTTGGAGGAGAAAGCAGGGGAGGGGGGGTTCTCATCTATTAAGCACACTTGTGAAATTTTGCCACAAAAACCTTTTATACTAAAAATACTTTTATAATAAAAACAAAATTATTTTATTTTTGGAAAAGAACCACCCCTGTTGGTTAGTTCCAGAGTCATTTAAAATACTGAAAGACAAGGGAGGCAAAAACCAACCCAGCAACCTCAGCAGCACAAAGGAGCTTTAGCCTGTCATGTCACAGTCAGGGGGGATTCTGAAGGCCAGACAGTGTGAGGGGCGAGGAGCCCTGGGGGAGGGTCTCCTTGGACTTCTCCTGGTGTGGGCTCTGCCACTCCTCATCTTACCAAGTAGGCAGCCTCTGACTGAGGAGACAAAGGCTGTGGAGTGACAGCCTGAGCTCCATCTCCAACTCTACCAACCCAGACTCCTGTCAAGTCACTTAAACATGCTGATCATTTCCTTCAATTTCACAGATGCTTTGGGAGGTGTATTCATATGCTAAGTAACTGGCATAGTAGATTTTTCTTTAAAGATTTATTTATTTATGCACACAAGAACTGGGGTATAGGCCAGAGGTGCAAGAGGGTAAGAGGATTCACCAGAGACACAGTGGGGAGCAGAACAAGCAGATCTTCCAGTAGACATTTTTCAGGCAGCGATTACTAGAGAAAATTCATTGCTTTGGTAAAAAGAGTATTCTGCTGTAAAGAATATCAGATCCTCCATCTGGGCAATTCTGTTCTGCACAGCTGTAGCCACTGTTCTCCCCAGTGAGCTATTTTTCTCAATTGGCTACATTCATCTTTGTTTCACATCTTTCAAACATGCTCAGTGGTTATTTACTTTCTGGATTTCACAGGCTGGATTCACTCTCTGCAGTCTAGTGATACGAGTGGAGACTGCCAGCTTCAGAGAATGAAGCTGAGATTCAGAATCCACACTCCTCACAGACTGCCTTGAAATTGGATTAAACTCTGCTAAAACTTTAAGGGTATCATGCCTGAAAGCCTCTGAGGCCCTTTGTTTAAGAGAGCCAACTGCAGCAATGTCCCGTAATGCCCAGGGAGACCAGTCCACTGGGAAACTGTATTTACCAAGGGGAAGAGCTACCAAAATATACTTTGACACTTGTATACTTCACATATTTATATAAACTGTATCCAGGTAGTAATCTAAATGCATTCCCTTAGCTTTTAGCTTGTTTTATTTTGATTATAGCATTTATCACAATTGGAAATTATTTAATGATTTATGTGTTTTACTCTCTTCCCATCACGTAAGCTCCCTGAACCATCACTGGCTGAGCAGCATTTAGAACACAGCAGGTACTCAATAAGCGCTGAGTTGCGTGAAAGATCTACCTTACAGCATTATCGTGTGAAAGGACAGTATATGTGAAAATACGCAGCAAGGTGCTCTCAACCAATGTTACTTTAACTCATCTTCACCATTCCATTTTGCAGATGAGGACACCATGTTCTCAGCCCCAGAAACCGAAGAGCATTGGTTGTGGTCTTTGTTGGGAATGCCCTCGGAATACGTTATTAGAAAAAGTGTGAGCTCAAGGTAAGCAGCCGTTCACCAATTGTGAGACAGGAAAGAGGTAGGAAAGGGAGGTGGGCAGTGGGGGAGGGCAACGTGACTGGATTGGATCTGGCCTGATGATGTTTTCATGTCCAATACCAGCAGAGGTCTATGAGCCCTATAGGTTTGGCTCTTCATAGATTAAAAATTCTCAAAGGGGTCCATGTATCCCTTCTCTCTTTAGGGGAAAAAAAAAAAGATAAATTACTGGTTAAGTAGAGACAATTAAAACAGCAACACCACAGCAGGCAAGAACTGCATCTTGCCAGGCACCTTCTGAACGCCCAGCCCGGTGCTGCTTTTATGTGTCATCTCTCCACCTTCCCACACTCTCAGGAGGCATTTTAAGGGTGGAGAACCCCAGTTTCAGTGATGCTTAGCAAATAGTTCAAATGTGGCAAATGACAAATCCAAAATGTGAATCAAGGTCTGCTCAGAACCCAAACTGACACTGGCCTGCACTTCATGTCTGAATACCTGGGTGTTAGTCACCCGCTTCCATCTTTGACTCACGGCAAGATTCTGGCCAGCCCTAGTTCCTCATCAGCTAACTGAGGAGCACTGCCTGTCAAAGTAGTGAGCATAGTAACAATCTACGACAAATTCGTGGCTCTTACAATTTACCAGGAAAATGTGCACTAACTGTCAACTTTATCCTGAAAACAATCCTGCAACACAGATATCATTTCCACTTCCAGGTGCGTAAAATGAGGTCTGTGACCTAGCCAAGGCTGCAGAACTTGTAAGAGCTGTAGCCAGGAGTCAAAGCCAGGCTTGCCCACACCGAAGCTCAGGCTCTCTGACATTCAGCTACCTTGCTTCCCTTGGCCATAGCAGCTGCAGGACAGGCACCAGCCGACTGAAACACTTCACTCTCTGGTGCTGGAGTGGGATGAGAAAGGGGGAGGGCAGTACCAGGTGAACTGGCAAGAAAGGCAGAGGCCAGATTGTGAAGTCTTAGAGGCCATGGTCAGACACTTGTATTTTATTGTCAAGTTTTATGGGCCCTAGGTAAAGGGATGCTTAAAACTGTACATTATTTTAACACTATGGACAATGTATTACAAATTAAAGATGACAATCAGTCTGATATTAGCCCTTAAAACAAATTCAGTATTCCTCAGGTATACCTTCCCTAGTGAAGCACTTGTGAAAATGTGTGCTCACATGCACTTCTCCAAAGAAGTCAGTGCACCTGGTGTACGTTATGCTGGGTCTCCCTCTCCACCCCAGGAATATAAGCTCTGTGAAAGCAGATACTTTTTGTTCACTGCTTTATTCATCACCATCTAGAACAGTTCCTGATACATAGTAAGTAGTCAATAGTTACTGAATGAATGAAAGCAGAGGTAATGTTGTATCTCCTCCAAAGAACAGTCTATGTTTGTTGTCTATGCTCATCAGTTTAAATGATGGCTTCTGTTTTCATCATTCTACTAAAAACAACTTTTCTAGGATCACTAGTAAAATACCAGTCACTAGTTTTAGTTTTTCTTTTTTATAAGTTTTTTATTTTACTTATTTAAGATTTATTTATGCATATAAGAGCTGGGGTATAGGCCAGAGGTGAGGGGTGGTGAGAGGGTTCACCAGAGGCAGATTGGGGAGCAGGACAGGCAGATTGACTGAAATACACTGCTGAGAGGAGCAGCAGGCGGGTCAGGAGAGGTCTACTGCACCATATGGGTCGGCTCCCTGACTGGGGATCAAACTCAGGCAGTCACTGCAGTCACTGAGACTTAGCCCCTAAGGCGACCAGGGAGGCCCCCTTAAGGTGTTTTTATCATATCAAACTTCCCCGCTATATCCTGATGATTTTTCTTCTCTTCTCCCATGAAACTCCATTCTATTGGTTTCCATGATACTTCTCTCCTGGTTAACTTCAACTGTTTCTGCCTGTCCTCTCTCCTTAATGGTCTCCTTTCCCATCACTTCCCCCACTCCCCCCGCCACACCCCCAATGCCATAGTTTCTCTGGATTTAGTCCTGGGCCTGTTACTTTTATAATCCTACACTTTCTTTGTGCACTCTTGTCTGTTCTCTTGATGTTTACCAATACCTATAGGCTAGTGATTTCCAGGTTTATAGGTCTAGTCTCAAACATTGATTGCCCAGGTGGAATTCAGAATCTCTGAACAGGCAGATCCCCCATGGCCCTATGACTCAGCAGGTTCAAGATGCATTGTGCCATTTCCTTACACCCCCTCTCCTCTGGTGAGCTAGGAGGGTTGAGTCAGACATGACTGAGAACACAGCTGCCCCTGGGATTTTCCTGCACTCCCTCACTGGGGATGGCAGTGCACTGTCTCAGGCCAGCAGGGTCTGCAGTAGAGCAGATTCACCAAAGTGCTGCCTCTGCAGCTCACGTTAGAAACCCGCTCTGAACCCGCACATGGCTGTGCTGGGCAAGATGTACAAAGTTTATCTCATCTCCCTCTCTCCTAAAATGAGTCTCTTGTGTCTGTCACTGGCACCATCGTCTACCCCCAGTCTTCGAGGCCAGAAACCTTAATGTCATTCTGGAGTCCTCATTCCCCTCCTCCCACATCTGATTAATCCTAGTGATTCTCATTCCCAACTTTTCTTGATTCTTTGCCCCCTCCCCCCACTTAAATTCCTACTGCTATGAACTTTCTTGGACTCTCTGTTCTCACAAACTATCTTTATACTTGGCTAACAGTTGCATAGGTGCCCCCTCCCCCTTGATCTGTGGGAGGGGAGGGTCTTTAGACAGGGTAAAGGGGGCAGCACCTTTCAGCAAGTGTCTTCGAGAGAGGAATATGCCAGCTTCATTTTACAATTACCTACTCTCCACATTGATTAATAGTTTATTTTCATTTTCACTTAAGGTTTCCCTTTAAAATAAGTTTGAGTTAAAAAATAAAGCGAGTTTCATTAAAATTAAGAGGATATTTAGCAGGGAGGAACTCATAGGAGGGGAAAATCATGATGGTAGTTCAAAAATAACAGAAATTTGAGAAAGGCTAAGAAAAATCAAAGATGATTAGGGTAGCATCTTAAATAAATAAAAAGGACTTATTTATGTATGCATATAAGAACTGGGGTACAGGTCAGAGGTGTGCAGGGTAACAGGATTCATCAGAATCAGTGAGGAGCAGAATAGGCAGATCTACTGAAATACCCTGCTAAGGGGAGCAGCGAGTGAGACAGGAGAGGTCTGCTGCGCTGTGTGGGTCAGCTCCTTGGCTGGGGATCGAATTCGCACTGCAGTGGCTGTGGATAGTGTCTAGTGCTGTGCTTTAACCTGTTGCGCCACCAGGAAGGGACCGGTAACATATTATCTTGAACTGTATGATATTGGGTGATATCTGACTATTCTCTGACCTATAAAAATGACAATTTCATATACTTCAACTTACTAGAATGTTTTACTTTTTTTTTTGGCTCCTGCTTCTATTACAGCAAGATCAATTGCTTGCCACTAGCCTGCACATACCACATTATTTCTCTCCTCTGTACCTTTGCCTAAGTCATTGCCTCTGCCTTGATACCCACATACTCTTGGGACTTGAGTATCGAAACCTTCAGGCCCCTGTCACCACTGCAGCAGTTAAGGTGCTCCTCAGAGCTTCCTAACACAGAAGGCACTCTGACAGCATGTTGGAATGTACATCCCACTACAATGGGCTCCTCAGGGCAGCTACTCTCCTTATTATCCCACTGTGCCCGCACAGCAGTTACAGGCCCTCGGTACGGCTGGGGCTAGCAGAAGGTAAAGGATGCATGTCTGTAAGGACGGGAGGACTACTTCTGCTTGGAGTGCCAGAGGAGGCTTCAGAGAGTGATCTTTTGACCTAGAGGTTGAAGGGAGAGAAGGAATTTACCAGGTGAGAAAGAATGGAAGGACATGCCAGGCGAGGCAACATCAGGCATAAAGGGACTCGCGGCCTGACAGTCCATAGCACTAGAAGAACAGAAGTATGGCTTAGATGGAGTATATGAAGGAGAGTTGCGGGATAAGGCAATACCCCTCTCCAGCTTTGCGTAAGGCACCCTGAAATTGATAAACACACTCACAAGTATCCAGTGGACACTGATTGAAAGGCCTGTGAAGCTGGCATATTCCTCTCTCGAAGACCAAATGCAGGTACCCTGCACAGTTGCAAAACCAGCCGTTCGGAACCACTATGTTCAAACCAGCATGAAACACTTGTTCAAACCAGCGTGACCTTCCGGCAGCCCTCAAGGAACTTTCTAGAGAAGCTGCCGTGTAACCAAGAATCAGAGAAACTGGCACCTGACTTGGTCATCAAATCTAAAGACCACTCTGCAAGTGAAGTTGCCTCCAAGGAAAACAGATTAATTGAGAGACAAGGATGGGATAGGTGCATCCCCAACAGATGAGGGGTCGCTCTGACCTAGGATGGTAGGCTAACCATGGTAACAGTAACAATCAGACTAGAAGGCGATATTGTTACAGTAGTGGGTGCTTTAAATGCTTTCTTACTTACAGGGCAGCCTCATGTAGTGGGTATTATCTCCCTCATTTTAGAGAAAGAGAAGAGGAAACTTATATTGAAACATAAAAAGACTTTCAATCTCAGTAGCAGTAGTAACAGAATCCCCTGGGACTGGAACCCAGTTCTTTCCATTTCACCAAGGAGGCTTTAGGTTGCCACTGGCCCTTCCTGTCACTTCTGGGGAAACACTGTCGTGAGTACAAACGACCAGGGGGACCGTCCACAGCTTCAGGTTAGGGCGATTTCTGTGCACTTGGTTCTAAGTTTCAATTTTGCACTCTCTCTCTCAGTACTTCTTTCAGGAGGTACTTCCTCAGCCACCTAAAAGAATCACTGTTCCCTTAAGACCAGCTAGTTCCTCTTTTTACTTCCTGGTTTCAATGGAGCAAGACACAGACAAATCTCTCAGTCTGTTTATTCCTCAAAGTGACAGAGTTGTGCTTGCAGAATATGTTGATAGCTAAATCAATAACATTTGTGCCAAGAGCTGCAAAATAAAGAAACATGCTCTTGAAATAGGACTCGATTCATTCACTATTTGTTGACCCCTTACTCTGTGGCAGGCACTGTGTTTGCTGCTGGGCCTCCTAAGATGTTCAGACAGCCCCAAACCTAAACAAGGAGTCCAGTCTAGTGGGTGTGATATTACGCAGAAAGAAAAATTCCATTCAGAAGCCTTAAATCTTTCAGTGTTTGAGGATGATACAAAGACATGAAACAAAAATTCTACTGAGAAGGGGAAACTTCTACTGAAACATAAGAAGACTTTGAATCTCAATAATGGTCAGGGCAGTCACAATGAAAGAACTTTCCAAACCCTCCAGATTACATTAGGACCTGACAGGATACTGGGCCAGCAGACCCGAAGTTTCAGAACAATAAACATGATCAGGCACTGAAGGAACACAGGTACAGCAGGGACTTAGTAAATATTTTGCTAACTCAAGGAGAGAACGGCTAGGGCAGAGATAACAAACTGACTTTGTGGGCTAAATGTGGCCTGTTGCTATGTTTTGTTTGTCCTCAGTGTTTACAAAGTGGAAGTAACTGCCAAAATTCAAAACTTAGCAGATTTCACAACTTCTCTCTTAAATAGGTAAGGTCTGTCAGCTTCTGGCCCCGTCTCCATGGGGCAGCCTAGAGCTGAATGCTGCCCATGCCTTCCAGCACACCCCCATCAGTCTCCACCCCGACAGGGGCTGCCACCCCAACTTCTACTACCTCTAGCTCTGAATGCACTCAAGTATGCTCTTCCTCAGGGGGAGATTTTTTTAAAAGATTTATTTATGCACACAGAACTGGGTTACAGGCCAGAGGTGCAGGGGCAATGAGATAATTCACCAAACACAGAGTAGGGAGCAGAACAGGCGGTTGTACTGAAACACACAGCTGAGAGGTGCAGCAGGTGGGTCAGGAGCGGTCTGCTGCGCCCTGTGTTTCAGCTCCCTGGCTGGGGATCCAATTCATGCTACAATGGCTGGTGATAGCTTGACAGTGCTGTCTTTAACCCCTGTGCCACCAGGGTGGCTCCCTGAGAGGCAGATTTAATGGGGTTTATTCTCAGGGGTAAAGTCCAGCGACTCCTATTTACCACTCTGCAGTAGGGTCAGGAACAATAGCTAGGGACAAATTTTTCAGCAAGGTGTTTCCATGCTGTATCTCAAATCCTTACAACCCTGCAGGTCACAGAACTCAAGTTTAAAAATCTGCAACAAAGTGGTAAAGCTGGATCACAAACTCAGCAATCTCTGACTTAGCTAATATTGGTATGATTTAGCTAGTGTTCCTAAGCTTAAGCACTGTTAGTATCAGACATGAACTAAGTCATTTAATTCTCACCTCAACAATTATTATCTCCATTTGACTTCTGAGAAAATGAAGGCATAGAAGGTTAATAACTTATCAAAGGCCACATAGTAGGAGGCAGACCTGGGATTTGAACCCAGGAGTCTCAATGTAGATCCTGAATCTCAGTACACCAGGGGAGGTCTCTGAGCTTCTCCAGGTTAAGTACCCACTGCCTGGGTCTTGCCCATGGTCACCACTGTTCAGTTTAGTGTCAAGACACAGATGTTTTGTGTTTGACCTTAATACCAAACCAGGACACCACCTACCACCCTGCAGTGTGGTTTCCCCCACTTAGCACCACACAGTAGAGCACATTCCATATCAGTGTGGTCTTCCACTTCTTTGGGTATAATGGAATTCACTCCACTTTTCTCCTAGAAAGTTAGGTTGTCTCTAGTTTTTCCTTAATAAAGACAATGCATCAATATCCTCACCTCTGGCCTGTATCCCGGTTCTTATACGTATAAATAAATAAATCTTTTTTAAAAAGACTAGCAAAACCCTGAGGCTCAGCAATCAGAAGGCCACTAAGAGCAGGACGTTGTTGATAGATATGTCACCTAGTTGGTTTACCTAGCAGGAAACCGTCTCTGTTCAGCATTTCCAGTTCCAGGAAACAACACCAGCGTTCACCGAGTCTTTCAGTATGGGAGCCAGGCTCGATTCTAATCTACCCACCCCAAGTCACTAGATTCTTTTGGTTTTGTCTTCCTAAATGCTCTCAAAATCTAATTGTTCTTACCATCTCTGTAACAGGATTCCAGTTCTCTCACCTGGATCACCAAAACAACCTCTCAAAACACCTCTGCCCCCAGCCTCACTCATGTCCTGCAGAACTTCAATTCAGACTGATTCTAAATGCAAGTATGATTTCAGTTAAAACCTTCCAGGGTCTCTCGTGGTCTGAGCCCTCGGCTGCATTTTTTAAAAAATCATCTTAACGCACCAAGTCCCCGCATCCTAAGTCAGACTTAACCAGTTGGAGAGGAGGCCTGAGATTCTTAGTCACCCTTCAGCTGGTAGGAAGATGGCACTCGTGGAGAGGAAATATTTCGAGAATACACAGGCAGGAGGAGAGGGAATGGCTCTGTGAAAGTGGGACAATGGCTGGGGCAGTTGAGTCATCGCTTCTGATGGCAAAAACCTCACCAAAAAACAAAAACAAACCAAAGAAAACAGTTTGAAAACATTTTCTGGTAAACCTGGGAGAGAAGTTTGAAAAACTACAGCTGATGACAGAGAAATCAGACTGCTACTTCACAGAGGGTGAAGGAGCATGGGACGGGAGGAAAGCACAAGCCAAACAAAACTGGCAGGTGGCAAATGAGTGGTGGGATGCGCCTTCAACAGCCACACCAGTACTCATGTCCACTCAAGTAAAAATGCCATCATTTTGGACAGGAATTAGTTTGCTGCTCAGTTCAACGAGCAAATCTCCACAGTTTATAAATATTCAGTTACCTTCACCGAAGTACTTGACATGCAACTATTCCAAAGTATTGGTTTCATTAGAATCATCTGTCCAGTTAGTAAATATGTGTGTTTTTGCTATTACAAACAAAACCAAGGTGGCCAGACAGCCCAGTAACAAGGAGGCAGAAAGATGACACAGTTGCAAAATGGAAAACCACAGCGGTAGTGCTGATTGCCTCACTTCTCTGTGAAGAGGTGGCCTTCTTGGAGGAAATAACAGAGGGTCTGTGTTCCGGTTTGAACACTCATTTCTAAGCCGACTACCCCTAATATTTGCTGGGCTGGTGGCAGGAATGCAGTTGGTGGCCCACATGCCACATGTCAAACTGTCTAAAGGTTACAAACTAAAACCATTAAGTACAGTTTCTATTCTATGCTGCCTTCATAAATATACCTTATAATGACCTGGAAGGTTTGGTCTGAATTTAGGGTTCTCAGAGTTGTGATAGCACAAGGAAAACAAGCTCCTGACGCACTTCTCCCAGGATGTCCCTTCCCCGAGATGTGCTCAGCCTGATCCCTGGAATGTGTTCTCTCACCTGGCAAGGGGCAATGGACACTGCTCATCACCTCACCTCAGATGGGGAGACTAGCTGGATTATCTGGTGGGCCCACTGTAATGGCAGGGTTCTTATAAGTAAAAGAGGGAGGCAGAAGAGTCAGAGTCAGAGATAGAAAGACAGAAGCAGAGGTGAGGGTGCTGGGCTGCAGGCGTTGAGATGGGGCCAGGGAATACGAGTGGAGCTGGAAAAGGCAATCAGGTTCTCTAGATGCTGCCAAATCTTGATCCAATCAGAACATCTGACCTCCAGAACTGGAGAATAAATGGTGACTTTGTAGTAATTTACACTGCCCTGGCTCCGCAGCTCAGGGCCTCCTGCTCCCACAACTCACCCGTGCCTACGGGTAAGTGCCAGTGCTCATGGGGCTCGTCCTCCCTGTGGTCTTAGATTTGGAGCTCCTAGGGAGAAGAATCACATAGAACATAGAGGCCGCACACCTGTCCCTCACCCTTCATCTTGCAGCAGCAGCACACGGTGAGGGGCTGCTTTGAGTCAGGAAGAACAGGGTTAGAATGCAAGCTCTGCTACTTCTTGGGGTGATGCTGAGCCCTTCCTCCCTGTTGAATGAGGGTGTTAGATCACCTTAGGGCAACCGTTGAGGTTATCTCAACACTGGGCCCAGAACAAAGGAGATGCTGTCAATAAATGCTGGTTCTCCTATATCTCCTCTTCAGCTGCCCCTCCCACACCATGTGTTTAGCTGGTGGGCATGATAATCTGTTTGTGAAGTCTTTATGGTTTTTATCACCATGGGGGCAATTTCTAAAACAAAGACCAAAGGAAAGTAGTCTAGAGCACAGAGGAATTCATTATATACCACACACCTCTCCACAGACTCACTTCACAATTAGAGCTGAGAGACGCTGCTATTCCCAGATCAGCAAGGTCAGGCTCACTGACAGACACTGACCACGCCTGTGGTGATGATAATGGGGACACTCTCCAAGTACATACTGTGGCAGTGTCTGCGTGGCACTTTCATACATATTATCTCAGGCGGGAAACAGATGGCGAGTCTGAGATTTATCGAAGGCTGCATGTGGCAGGAGGCAGAAAGCAAACATTCTGGAGGTGTGGCTTTAAATTCTGACTATCCTATTCACTCACTTTGTGATTTCAGGCAAGA